ATTAAGAAGATTGCTACTTATCAACAAATATATGAAGCGGGCGGGCAACATACGAAATTGATTGATTATCAAGATTACGTTGGTTGTGAATATACCTAGTAGCTACCTATCTACCTTACCACCTTACCTAGGTAGTATTTGCCTGGTATTCCAGGAGTCCAGGTCTGATGAATATTGAGCTTTCAGTCTCAAAGGTTCACCGTAGCTAGTGGAATGAATGAATCGTTTAAATTAGCGTGATCTTTTCATCAGATACCCTTGTCAATACCTACATAGTACCTAGCTGCATAGGAAATTTACTACGGAGGAGGGTAATATCTCTTTTGGCGTCTCTCTCTCTCTCTCTCTCTACTCGCATTTTCATCCAAGGGCAATCAAATATTAGCAGCATCCATTTCCCAAACTTCTTCTCTTTTCCTTCCTGAATTTTCCTCACAACCACAATCACAATTACCACTACGAATCTACCATATTCACTTCAAAATATTGTAATTCTTGCATTTCCTCCAATATCAGTCAATGAATCAATAATATCTCCCCCATATCGACCCTAACCCTTCTTCTACAGATCCTTCTCTCTGTCTCTGTCCCTCTCTCTACCTTCACTCGCAGCGCAGTAGAAGAGACCAAGAAAAAGGAACCCCCAATCATATTCACAATTGCTGGCTGATATTATAACTGGAAACAATACCTAACTATTGACAAAGTTACCTGCTTACCTACTTATTACTCTCTCTGCACTTCTGGGAGGTAAACATTCTTCTTCGCTTCTCTTCAGCTCCAGACACATTCATTTGGTCAGGTCGAGTCAAGTCATGATCAAACTCTAAGGAAGAAAAGGAAAAAAGAAGTCATTGTATTTGTTTTTTTGCTACACTTCTTCTCTATCCATTCCATTTTCAATCGCTTTTGCATGTGGATTTGTTGGGCTGGGAATAGTGACCCTAGCAAGGTACTTAAATAGTACTTCCTTTTGATTTTATTTACTGGGGAGTCCGGGGGGCTACATACATACATACAACAGTTCATCCTTGAATACGGTCCATGTTTTTTTTACAGTACCGTTGCACCACATCATTCTGAACATCTATTTCAATTTCGCGGACAACAAGAAAAACCCTTTTTCTGTCCATCAAAGTCATCGATGCTTTCCATTATCGCAACCACAAGGACCAAGATAACAAGAATTCATTGATAAGCATATCCAACTTCTTAATATTGCTCCTCGTCTTTTCTGTCGCGTCAGATTACTTTGTCTACCTAGGTATCATCGACTTGCTTTCTCGACTCAAGCTCAACCCAGTGTCACGCAAATTCATCTCCCGACCGATTGATGATTTGATAGTAAAATAGGATTCTTTTTGTATAAAGGAGAGTCCGTTATGTTGGGAAATTGGTCTCAGGGTGGTCCTCAAGGACCACCACATAACTACAACAATAATTACTCTGGCCCGCCTCAAAACTACAACAATTCTTACAATGCTCCTGTACCTAATAAGACACCTCGTCTTCCAATATGCTTCACGTGTGGTCAAGAAGGGCATTTCGTCAAGGATTGTCCGAATCAAAATCAAAGTGGTCAAGCGTGAGTGATGATTTGTTTCCATATCTTGATGCTTTCTTCTCGTATCTTTTGCTTTTGCCAAGAGATGGGCTAATAACGACAAGTGCTGTGGTTGCTCCCCAGACAACAAATGTTAATGGATATGGTGCACCGCCCCAACCAAAACAGTGGGCAAACGCTCAAAATGGTCAAACGGGTTCTAAATATGCTCCCTATGCTGGCCCTGGAAATGCTCCAATGTCACGATTCACCGACTCTGGCCAAAATTCTCAATTCAATGGGTCAATGCCATCTGCTCCGAGTCCGCTGTACCAGCAACATTCCACACCAAATCCACAGCCACAGGGCCCTCCACAACAGGCGTATCCTCATCAACAACCCGTTCCCAGTGGAGCTAATTACAACCATCCATCTCAACAGCAACATGGATCTCAAGGCTATCAAGCTCCGTATAATCAACATCCCCAATCTAATTCACCACAACAGTATGGGCCACCAACTCACAGCCAAAATGGTCCACAGTATCCTCCCCCATCAGCCCCACCCACCCCCTTTCAGCCTCAAAACAATGGTTATAATCAAGGTTACAATAGCCGAAGTTCATCAGTACCTCATCAAAGCAACGGCACGCCAAATCATGGGCAGTGGATTGGTTCACCGCCAGCGGCATCTTCCCCTAATGGACCACAACATCAGCAAGGACAATTGCAATCAAATCTTGGCTGTAATCGTGAGTTCAGAAGGTCCCAGTCACAACAATCTCAGCAAAGTGAAAGTCGCATGTGGGCCCAACAAGGGGAAAGCCGGATGGGATCTCAGCAGCCTCAGCAAAGTACAAGTCGGGCGGCATCTCAGAATCCATCAATGGCGTCCCCAGAGTTGAATAAACGCGGGCTGTACATACCTCGATCCAAAAATGCTACACTTACCGCCCCTTCCAAAGCTTCTTCTCAACCCCCCGAGGTACCAATACCTTCAAGGGCCTCAAGTGTGGCAAGTACACCCTATGGCTCGCCTAGCTCAAGAGATAACATATCTGAATGGGATGGCCAACCAGCCGTTTTAAAGGAGGACAGTCACCGGACTGACGAGGAAAAGCAGTTCAATTGGGATTACAAAAAGATCTTCCAAGCTGCAGGCCAAAGACACGAAACTGTTGCACTTGCCCAGCCTTTAGCCAACAGATTTGATATGACTCCAGTCCCTCTCATCGACAAAAAATCAACCATCTCAATTTCTAGGTATGCAAGAAAAGAAAATTTAAAGGAGTATAGACAAAGTGTCAGAAAGACACCGCAATGGCCATACTTACAAGAAGATCCAACTTTCCAAGAGTTAAAGGCTGGGGATGATTCAGTACCCTTTCAAGGACTAGATGCTCTTATGAAATCGAGGCATGGCGATGCACATGTATCTATTGCAACTCGAAAATCCACAGCTGCAAATATACCGCGCAGTGGTAAGCGTAAGCCAAGCCCAACGGATCAAGATGATATCGATGAACAACTGCAAGCTGATATTTCTACTCTGAAAAACAACAAACGTCAAAAGGTTGATGACCAGTCATTCAAATCTGCGGATGGCTTGCCCAGATTCAGTAGTGATAATGCATTGAACAACTCCCCAACTCTTGCTGAAGCGCCAGACGATATTTGGGCTCCTCAGGCGGGAGAGAGTGCCGACCCGACTGAGGCGTTGCTGGCATCTTTGGGTGTTTCCGGTGCTCCGAAACCGGTTGAGCCTGGACCTCCAGTTATGATTCCCATTGAGGATCTCCAGCAGCCTATCTACAGTCCCCAGCAACCTCTTTATGAAAGTCAGCAAACTCCCTACAATTCTCAAAACACCCAACACAACCAACAACCCATTTTCAATGCTCAGCAGCAGCCTCCGTATACTCAACAACCTCCTTTCAATGCTCAACAACCTCCTTTCAATGCTCAACAGCCTTCTTTTAATGCTCATCAACAGCCTCCTTTCAATGCTCAGCAACCGCCATATAATCCTCAATCCCAGCCTCCATACAACCAACAGCCTACTTTCAATGCTCAGCAGCAGCCTTCATATAATCGTCAACCTTCTTTCAATGCTCAACAACCTCCTTACAATCCACACCAAGCTCCTTATAACGCCCAGCAGCCTCCATACAACCAGCAACCACCGTTTAATGCCGAGCAACGTCCTTTCAATGCCCAACAACCTCCTTTTATTGCCCAGCAGCACTCTTTTAGTCTTCAACAGCCTCCTTACAACGTTCAACAGCCTTATAATGCCCAGCGGCATCCTTTCAATGCTAACATGGCAGGTCAACCTTTTAGACAAGACCCAAGCTATGCTAACGCTCGCCCTTCAATTTCCGGACCCCAAGGCTTCAACATACCCCCACCACCACCACCACCAATTGAAGAGGAGCCTATGTTCGACCCTTGGCCAGAACACAATGTTACGACAACACCACCTCCACCTGATCACACGGACAATGATAAGGAAAACGGGAAGAAAGACGACGACGGAAATGCTGCGGTGGATTCTCCTTTGAGTCCCACGTCATTAGAGATCCTTGCGGAAATAAAGAAGGAACCTGCGAAACCACGAAAAATCGTCCGAATAATCAGTGGCAAGAAGGGCAAGGAATCGTCGCGTTTATCTGAGGAAGTCACTCCAAAACTCAAAAGAGCTCCACCAGTGGTCGATGCAGCTTATGGGTAAGATTTAAAGCTTGATATTGTCTACATGTGCTAATATATTATTCCGCAGTCGCCGTTGGTAGCTAAATTCCTATCACACCCCCTTGATAATTGGTGGCTGGTCTTGGTCAGGTAAACCGCATATAGTTTGCAAAAGAGCCTTTTGGATTTAGCAAACCTTCAAGTAGTCGGTTGTCCATCACGGCTCTGTTTATATTCTTTGTACAAATAAAAATTTCATGCATGAGCGGCGTTGTTCGGGTTTTTTGAGATGGAGTTCAGGAATGCCTTTTCAGTTGATGGTTTTCTGTACAATCCTCATTGCGCATACATCAATGCATTTTATGGCATTGCAAGAGCCGATGGAGTGAATGAACCTAAATAACTTATTCTATTTGGAGACTCTTCAGTGGCAATCCGTTTGTTCTGCTCAAGACTACTTGTTGTTCAGAGCGAACGCCAGGTTCAAAAGTCTTGTAGGAGAGCAGGATAATTCAGTAGTATTCAATGCCAAGCTACTTGCTTTGGCTAATAGTAATGCTAGTGGACTTCTTTTTGTCCCTGGCTCTTTATCAAACGATGATCTTTGGATTTAAATTCATTGGTATTACTCTAATGTTGTTGTGACTAAGTATTTCATGCCTGTGTAAGATTTGTTGTAGCAGTAAGCCTCCTAGTGTAAGGCATTTCATCCAGCCATGTTTGTATTTTCGGAGGGTAGCGCAGCCAGTCGCGCGGCAGGATATCAATTATTTGACTAATCTATCGTGTTCTTCGTTATCGTCATCACTACTTTCTTCCTCTTCCGCTTCATCGGAGTCTTCATCTCCGGACTCTTCTTCTGTTTCTCCAGATTCTTCGTCGTCGTCGTCGTCTTCTTCTTCTTCCTCGCTTTCCTCTTGCTCAGACTCGGCTAGCCAGTCATCAAGGGTCTTTTCCTTTCCAGGAGCCGTACCAGAGCCACCAGCATTGAATCCATTCGTCTTGGATGGCGAAACACTGGGTCTGAAATCTTTCACCGCACTATCTAATATCTGTCCTGCAGTCATGACTTTCTTCTCTTCATATTCATTTCGGGCAGAATCAGGTTCTCGTAACGAAGGGTCTGGCTCGGAGCCAGCTTCTACCCAGGGAGGTAGTGCCTCATAGCCCTTTAGTCCATGCATACCGCCCTCTTCGCCAACAACGAGACTGGCGCTTCCGAGTGTAAAGCTAGTGCGGCTTTCGGAGGGACTAGGTGTGTGGGGTATGGGTTTAGGGGCAAGAAGCATGAGAGATGCGAGTTGAGTGGATGAGGGAATTGCAAGGAGAGACTTGTAGAGACGGGTGCGGTCGCGGAGGTCGTATGAGGTATCGTAGCGTGCAAGAAGAAGAATGTAGTTCCAGAGAACGATGATGGGGTGATCGGGTTCAGATTCTGGTTCGGGGGGTGGAGAGAAGGAGGTTTGTGGAGGTGAGTCGAGGGATGCGAATCCTTCATTTCCTTCTTCAATGCCGGCATAATCGTGGGAAGCCTGGGGAGGTGATGAAGGTTTGATAGGCTCAGGTTCTGGCGTAGTCCGATTTAGGTGATGTAGATAGACTTTAGCAGCTAGCAGAACAATTTGTAATTTTGCAGGCTCTGCTTCATCAGCAAAGCCCTTTGCCAAAATCCGAAGAACGTCAGGTGCAATGTTGTTCTCCCCATCAATGCCAGCAAATTCTCCTACAAGCCAAATAATAGTAGCTCGAGCCCGCGGGTTTGTAGCTGTGTCTAAATTCTTAGCTAACCGAATAACGGTATGTGTGTGAGATGCTGGATCTTGTTGTATAAGATGCCTGATTACAGTAAGTGACTCTGCGACTAGATTACCATCTAGACTTGTAATCTGCTTCAACAGTAGACGTAAACATCTTGCGGATGTTCTAGAATCACTCTGTGCACATCGACCAATAGCCCTCACTGACTCTCTCACCAATTCCCGGTCCGAGCCCCGGGAGAAATGCTCCAGCTCATTGAGTATCAAACTCTTGATATAGGAATCGCAATGTGGGAAAATTAGGGTGAGCAATTCGAGTTTCAGTTCCCATACTTGCGGTAGGTCGGTTGACCGGACTAGGAAATGAGAGGCGTATTTAACGAATGCTTCGGGTCGTGTAAGACATACAGAGACGATATTGTAGAGGGCTATGTGCTGGATATCAGACGGGCCACGTAGAAGAGCGATAAGAGGACCGATGCAATGGTTTATATAGTCTGGTGTTCCGAGAGCTACGTAGCAACGGGATACTGCTACCACGACACCCGAATTACGGGACTGAAGAAGTGGTTTGATACTTTTGAGGAGAAGCTCGAGATCTGGATCGAGGACCTGGATTGTTTCGCTGGTTTCTTCGGTATCTTCTTCTTGTTCGGCATCGGAATCACCGTAGAAATTTTCTTGGTTTCCATTGCTTTTAGGGGTGGCTTTGCGGACGCGCCGGGTGCGTTTGGGGAATGACTTTCGGGAGTAGATAGTCATTAAGTGAAGAGTGGCCATTTGTGACCACTCGTCCATATCAACTAGTTTCTTTACGAGACCCCTGTAATGTTTGTGGATAAGGTCAAGACGTTCCGGGCATATTTCTAGGAACGCGGTTACTGCTGCACCTGCTACGTAGTATTGTCGGTCGCCCAGTAAAGTCGAGAGGTAATCTAGAAGCTGTGGGAGGGTATTTGGATCCAATCTGTAGCACTTCGGGATAGCTAAAGCTGCCGCTTTCCTAACGTAGGGACTCATATCCCCAAGCCCCTTCTTGATGGCTAACGACACGATTTGACTAATGACAGGCACACGAATTCCAGACATGGTCTTGAGAGCAAGAGCTCTAACTTGTGGGTTTCCATCAGAGAGAGACTTTTGAATCGTATTTATAGAGAGTAGGGCCAGGTCCGGTTCTTGTTCTGCGTGGTTGAGGAGATAGATGTAAACCAGCTTTTTGATCTCAATATTCGGGGATGCGACGTTTTTTACGACGGACGAGAAGAATGTGAGGCATGGCTGGGAACGGTACATCATCTGCAAGTTCTGTTAGAGCTTATGTCTTGACTTTCAAGCCCCATGTTGGCCTGGCAAAGATGCGCAAGGAAATCGGGGAAACATACAGAGATGACCTTCCTCAACCCCTCCAAGACCTCTCTATCATGTCTACTATCCAACAACTTCTTAATTTGCTGGGGCGGCAGCGTCTTCAGCGCCCCTGCTCCTCGAGAGCTCCTTGCAGATTGCGCGGCATCGAGTGTGAGTTCTCTTGCTATCGTCGTTGTTAGCATAAAGTCATTGTGCCACATGATCGCAAATTTGTATCTTGGTGAAGTGAAGCAGGAAAAGAAAAGTTCGTACCACTTTCCAGCAAGCTGGATATTCTAGATATGGATTCCATTTCATGAACAACGTAAGGAGATTACAGAGGAACATGATCAATGGGAGCTTGTAATGGTGGGGTTGTAAGCGATTATTATTGATCTGGCTCCGCATATTTGCGGGATTGCATCATTTGGTAATGACAAACTTGAAGAATTCTTAATTCTTTGTTTTTTATCACCACTTGTTATTGTCCATATATGTGTTGTCGATGACTTAATTCTCGTGGTACAGATCTCGGGGAATACGTTTACTATGGATCATTAACATTCAGCACTAATTGTAGTTCAATTCTCTAGATCGACTACCATTATCGCGCCCAAAATCAAAGAACGACAACTTCACTGCGCTCGAAATGTCACCCTTGTATATCACACTACCGCCGGCTCTTCCTTCCGAACTCTTGACTTGGATATTGAATCATGGTGCTTATCCTACCACTATCTTGATTTGCAAACCTCGCGCCGCGTTCATCTCCTCCCTTCTCGCAGATGTCACCTCGAGCACTCCACCATTACCATCTTCACCCATCGACATACCCTCCTCTCCCCCCAATCCAGCGACTAGCGACGCGCAGCCTCAAACGCCCTCTCACTCACTCCTCATCAAGACTCTACACCAGGTCTCCCTCTCACGTCATATATCTATAATTTATATTCCCACGATCTCTCATTTGCGCGCCCATCTCTCTGTCCTTTCCCCAGATGCAGCTTCAAAGATCGGAGCTCCACCAGATCCAAAGTGGGACAAGGTGGGTAGAAAAAGGGCGATGATTGTTGTATATGGATTGATAGACTTACATAGGGATACAAGTGAGTGGAGTGCGCAGGGTTTAAATAGGAGTTTGGCGGGCCTGGTTGAAATTGGTGGAAGGGACAAGAGGGTGGTGGTGTGTTTAGAAGAGAGGGATAGGAAAATAGAAAGTAGTGAGTCAATGGAAGTGGATGGCGATGGCAATGAAGACATTGCTGGTCCAACCAATGACAGAAATGGGTTTGATTCAGGTGAGAACATAGGACGAGACAATAGAACCCGGAAGGTGTGGGATGAACATGTTCCGATGCTCAATGGAAGTGTGAGGCGCACTGGGTTAGAGAGTGAAGATCGCGGTTGGAGTGGGAGAACCATAGAGGTTGGCCAGATATTCGCAAGATGGTTTGATTTCGAAAATGCAGAATGGAGTCATCGTACATAGTGGTCTATAAACAGAGAAAGGAACACATTTGCTTGGAAGCCATTATCATCATATATCAATAGGTATACCCAAACGCCACCAGCCCCCCAACCTTTAATACCAATTCATCAGCATGCATGTCATGATCGCTAGTCCAACATGAAATCCAAAAGCGTTAACCCCATATCAAATAGACTGCTCCATTTCCGTGATGTATAGCTTAATATGCGAGTCCATCTTCAAGAATTCGTCATGCGCACTATGTATCTCATTCTCAATGTTTTCTTTCAAATCCGCCATCTGTGGTGTATCAGTGAGTTTGCAGGCTGTTAGCAGAAGTTCTAATGTGCGTACCTTTTTCTCCGTCTGCTCTATCCTTACTTTCCTCCTCTCCATCTCCCTGCCTTTTTCGTTTCTCTCTTCTGTGAGCTTTCTATGCACGGCCCGCAATTCTTCCATCCTCTCCTTAGCACTCATAGCCTTTGCTTTGCTACCATCTCTCAATTTCTCTGTTCGTTCAAGATGTTTCGACAATTGTCGCTGTAGCAAAGCCTCAGTTCTCTCCACTTCACGAACATTGTTTCCTCTTTCACCAAGTGCGTCTCGTTGTCTCGCCACTTTCACATTTTCATCTTCCTCCTTTGCTAATTCGATCGAAATCTCTTCCAAAAGTTTTGTACACGACACTACATCTGCAGAGACTACTGTAAATGTATCGGTTGAAGTCTGCAATGCTCGTGCCCGTCGATCCAAGGCATCGATTTGCGACTTGTCTGTGTTTAGTGCGTGGCTCAAGTCTGTTAATGACGCTTGCAGAGCAGCTGGTGACTGAGATACATATGGTTGTAACTTTGAGCTTTCTTGTCGCAATTCGATAGTCGCGGCAGTTTTCTCCTCCAAAATGGCAGTCATCTCCTTCTTCTTTTTAGTGAGTCCTTCAAATCGTCGTGCCATTTTGTCTTGGCTTTGGCGCAATTCTAAGAGCCTCTTTTTCAGCTCTTCATTACGCTTAACTTTTTCAGAAATATGGACCTCCATTGCCCTGCGGTTCCGTTTTAACTCATCCAAGCGGCTTTCCATCTCTTGGTTTTCCATATATAGCGTCTCGATTCGAACCTTTGTAGTCTCGGCCTTGTTGAAGTGTTCATCGATAACCTGTGTTTGACTTTCTCTAAATCGTACAAAGTTGATGATGTAAGAGAATATTTTCACTAGGCGATCGTGTGTTGGCTTGTATAAATCTTGAAACGAGAAATCCGTAATGCCACATTCAAATAGCAACTTGCGTAAACTAACATAGAAACCCATGAGATTCCTAGTTTCCGCCGGAACTATGTCTGGATAGTCTGCACACACGTCTTCGGAAGCTGCACGCATAGCAGGATCAACTGTATCGCGAGTCGTGTTCATGAGCAGCTCTGCAAACCATTCGAAGATCATTTGGATTTGAAGAGGATTGGGCTTTAACAGGTCTGCTGCAGAAAATGGTACACCTATATCGCTGATGCATCCTGCAATTTCTTTGTCGGGCTGTTATGATCAGTGGGAATTCAACGAAATCATGATATAGCCGTCTTACCAGGCGCATGAACGAATCACTCTCTTCCTCCTTCTTTTTGCCTCGATTTTGTTGCTGTGAGCTGGGAGCAAGGCTCATGCGCGGATTATAAGACATTTTATGATGTGGCAGTTGTATCTCTAATATAAATTGGAACTTGACAGTGCAGATTGTTATGCTCAATTTTTGTACCTGGGTGTGTTTTGCATAGGTATTTGGTTCTTTCGTCGTTGTTTGCAAAGATCGTAAAAGTAAACAAATGGACCGAGCAACCAACTACCGATAAGATTAGGCACAGTCACGTGATATTACATCAAGATGAATTTCGACGAAGGATAGCAAGGTTTGTGTATGAAGATTCTTCTCCAGAAGATCACTTTCTACTTGATGTCAAATGGGATATCAGAAGATTCTCAAATCTATTGGACGCGTGTCAAGTGATCATGTACCCCTCTACATCCCTTAATATATTGCCGAAGCTCTTGTATCAGATCAGCTATGTAACGGTTTTGAAATGTCATTCTCTCTATCATTTGCACTCGAGTTCGATAGCCACGAGTTTTGAATAGCTTTTGTATACCGGCTCTACAAATATGAGGCTCCTTTAAAGTCACACTTGAGTCGGAAAATTATTATCATGGGTCATACAAAGCCAGCTTGTCACAGCCATCTAGTAGTCTTCTTTCCCCACTACAATTTGATTCCATACCCTTGTGCTGTCTGCGTATTGACCATCCCGAAGTGGAGTCTGGAAATGCTTAGAATGACATCCAAGCAAGTATCAAAAGCTATACACGATTGCAGACTCGGCCCAGTTATCTTTCGATACGCGCAGGAATATTCAGATCAAAATTCGAACCATTTAGAGGTTGGCAAGAGGAGATCAACGATGAATGATATGGATACCCTATGCTCACTGATTACACATAGTAACTTGTCACCAGTTCCTCCCCCCCTCCCACCCCGCATTTCCGGGAGAGTTCCAGGTCGATTTCATGGAAATAAATCAAATCAACTGGTCATGACTAGTTACTTACCTGCACAGTTTCGAGATAGGCTATTCGAATACATAATACGGTACTAAACGGCAGGTGGATTAATCGATCAACCGCTAGCTACATCTGTCTAGTACAAACAAGCCTCGATGCAATCGCATTGCAATTGAGATTATTTGCACCGATTGACTCTTGTGATCACAAGCTGGAGCTACATTACATAGGTAGCATCTACGGTTTGTGCAATGGCCTGGCTTGCAATGAACTGAGACTCTATTCCGGGATAGGCGAATATCCCAAGAGAAGTCATGATCGATGTCGTGGTGCTGTATTGAGTGTCTGTACAAACATACATTCCCATGATTTTGCAGATGAGAGATTTGTTATGCAATGAAGCATCCTCCTTGGTAGACGCCTAACGAAATACGTATCTAAATAGACATTTCATCACCTGCGCTATTTTCTATCCGACACCTTCCCTCACATCTCCCACTGGCTTATGTTGTTCACAAGTTAATAAATCCGTGGATTTAGTAGTATCAACTAAGTAACATATCATACCGCGGGGTTAAGAGTTAGTTTAGTAATATGAGGTCACCCCTTACTTTCGATGTGGGGGGAATTCTGCATATGATTGATCCTTACCATTCAACAAAGAAATGAAAGAACGAGCTTCCAAGCAAATTGTTGAATGGCTCGATTCTCGAAAGATATGTGGTACTCGTACTAACACTGACCCCGAGAACTCCGAGAACCCCCATTCACCCTTTCACCCTTTCGGGTGATTTTTCATCATGACCTGCCTGCAGTCTTTTAAGCCGAACTTTTAATCTACACTAGTTCCCTTTGTAACAGGTTCTATATGTCAGATTTTTGTGTAAGTTTACATGAGCATGAGAATTCCTCGGCTATTAGCTTGCTTCTGCGAGATTGGGAAACTATATTAGCTCCCTTCCATAATTCCCCAAGTAAACAACCACTTGACACTATTTCTAAGTACCTCTCTTCCTTTGAATACAAACCAACTCGGAACGAACTGACAATACACCCATACCATATTGCAAGCTCCTTCAATTTCAGCTCTTCTATCAGAATGGCTATTCTCATTCCCAGCAACTCTAACGGTGCTGTCGAGGATGTCTCAAGCGTGTCTCCTCATGTGACAAAAGTCACGGGAGCTAAGCCCAAATCACATCACAATTCGAATTTCAATATTATCGATATCCGCCATGATGGTGCAGAAATTGAGTTGAAAGATGAGATACTGGCATCTTTGAGACCAAAAAGCGGTCTCAAGAGTCTGCCTACCCTGCTCCTTTATGATGAGCGGGGTCTACAAATATATGAAGATGTTGGTATTCGTTTACTTGGGAAATCTATCGACCATGTTAACTTATAGAGTCAGATCACTTATTTGTCTGAATACTACCTTACAAACGCAGAAATAGATGTCCTTGAACGTTCCGCAGAAAGTATTGCTGCAAATATACCTTCTAACTCTATGGTTGTTGAGCTGGGAAGCGGGTTTGTAATTTTCGTTGGAGTTTGAAACTTCTAGGACTAACAGTGAACAGTAATTTGCGCAAGGTGAGTATATTACTACGAGCTTTAGATGCAGCGGGAAAATGTGTCGACTACTACGCGCTTGATCTTTCATTGAGAGAGTTAGAGAGAACTCTAGAGCAGGTTCCGGAATTCAGATACGTGAAGTGCCATGGGCTTCATGGAACTTATGACGATGGTCTCGCATGGTTGAAACTTCCTGAAAACTCTTCCAGGCCAAAGTGCGTTGTGTCGATGGGATCGAGCATTGGTTTGTCTTTACAATTTTTGATCACCAACAATCAACTTACCACGCGCAGGTAACTTTCAAAGGCACGATGCATCGGCGTTTTTGAAGAGTTTTGCGGAAGTTTTTAGCCCCTCGGACATGTTTCTCATTGCCATCGATGCGACTAGTAACCCAGAAAAGATCTAGTAAGTCCCATTAAATTATCACTAAAATTGTCTTTGGCTAATTTCGTTATAGTCATGCTTATAATGGTGTGTCTACTCAATTCCAAGACCTTTCCTGCGGCTAACCTTGATAATAAGACAAGAAAGGGATCACCCACAAGTATGTACTCGCAATCCACAGCGATCGATTACCAGTCATTTGCTTACTCCTTACAAAAGGTTTATCTTGAATGGTTTGATCCAGGCGAACAAAATTCTCGGAGAGAACGTATTTGATATTGCAGACTGGACTGTCATCGGAGAATATGTATACGACACACAAGGAGGTCGTCACCAGGCCTTTTATTCTCCAAATCGGGATATCGTCATCAAAGACGTTCTTATAAAAGCAGGAGAGCGCGTGAAGATAGAGGTCAGTTTAAAATACTCACAGGCAGAAACAGCCAAGCTAGTGAAAGATGCCGGGATGATGGAAGCTCAGAGGTGGTCGGCTTCTAAAGATCAATATAGTAAGTTTTCCTATTACTTTTGTCTTTCCCAGCTCCGGTTTGAATCGGCAATCTCGCAGGCAGATATCACGTCAATGTACATGGTCTTATGATCACAGAAACCATCGGCGTGGGGGTATCTCCCAATCGTGGATTTGTGGCGCATGCTTATTCACTTGCTATCTTGGGGCTGACATCAACATGGCATGACATTGCAAAATGCGCTTCCATAACAGGATAGCTATTATCTGTATCCCATTGAATACTATTCTGACTTAAACTTGAAGATATGCACCTCTTAATAAAGAGCACAATGACATTCGACTCGAATCCAGGTGTATATGCTTCGTCTACGGCCCCAACTTTTCAGGATTGGCAAGGTCTCTGGTCAGTATGGGATACTGTCACCAGAAAAATGATTCCGAACGAAGAATTGGTCGAGAAGCCAATCAAACTTCGAAATGCTTGCATTTTCTACCTGGGACATATTCCAACATTTTTGGACATGCAACTGAATAAAGTTACTACAGAGCCGCTTTGTGAGCCCTCTTCATATCCCGCAATTTTTGAACGGGGAATTGATCCGGATGTTGATAATCCCGAGCAATGTCACTCTCATTCCGAGATTCCTGATGAGTGGCCACCACTTGAGGAGATTCTATCATATCAAGAAAAGGTGAGATCAAAAGTCAAAAAGTTATATGAAAGTCAAGCACTTCCCAGAAATCTTGGTCGCGCACTTTGGTTGGGGTTTGAGCATGAAGCTATGCATTTGGAAACACTTTTGTACATGTTGTTGCAAAGTGATAAGACTATTCCACCTACTAGCGCTAGGCCAGACTTCAAAGGAGAAGCAATAAAAGCCAAGGCATTGCAAGTCCCAAATGAATGGTTTACCATTCCAGAGCAGAAGATCGTAGTCGGGTTGAATGACCCTGAGGATAATTCTGGACCGGACAATCATTTTGGGTGGTATGTTGAACACGCTCCATTCAAGCACAAATTAAATATAACAATGCACCACAGGGATAATGAGAAACCTTCCCGAGAAGTTTTGCTTCGATCATTTGAAGCCAAAGGACGGCCAATCACCAATGAAGAGGTAAGCCACGCCTGAAATGTTTGTGAGACACAGTTCCTGAATATCAACAGTATGCTTTTTACCTGGAACAAACACGTGAAAGCAAGATCCCTGCTTCGTGGATTAAAAGTCCACAGTCGAATGGCTACACCAACGGTACTTCAAATGGATATAGTAACGGAAGTACAAATGGGTCAGCTTCGCCCCGGTTAAGTAAGGCATATCTCGAAGACAAAGCTGTTCGAACAGTCTACGGCCCAGTGCCACTTGAGTATGCTCTAGATTGGCCTGTATTCGCTTCATACGATGAGCTTTCTGGATGTGCAATTTGGATGGGGGGGCGGATCCCGACGGTTGAAGAAGCTCGAAGTATTTACAGTCATGTTGACGGCTTGAATGTAAAGAAAGCAGAGAGACATCTAGGCAAAACTGTACCAGCTGTCAATGGGTAGGCATAGAAGTGATATCGCTCCAAGTCATACGTAAAAACTAATTGATTAACAGGCATCTAATAAACGAGGGTGTTGAAGAGACACCACCATCACCAGCGTCTCAAGTCGGTGGAAGCTCTCAAGAGCTTTTCACCGACCTTGAAGGTGCCAATGTTGGATTCAAGAACTGGCATCCAATCTCCGTTACTGCTGGAGGAAATAAACTTGCAGGGCAGGCTGATATGGGTGGAGTTTGGGAATGGACCAGCTCACCACTCGTTGAACATGAAGGATTTGAGCCGATGCCTTTATATCCAGCTTATACTGGTATGTCTTCCGTTTTGGTCCATGGAATTTTGCAAAATCTGATCTTCAAAGCCGACTTCTTCGACGGAAAACACAACATTATCCTTGGGGGGTCATGGGCAACTCATCCTCGTATTGCTGGAAGGAAGACATTGTAAGTCAAGTTGGATTGATTCGTCCTCTATTATAATACTAATTGAATCACGTAGTGTCAATTGGTACCAGCGTAATTATCCATACACATGGGCAGGTGCACGACTAGTCCGTGATTTATAGGTTGGCTGCATGCTTTGAATATGGGCGGTAAAGCTTCTTTCATCATTCAACAGGGGAAGAAGCACGCCACTAACACTCGAGCGAATCAACTTCGTTTTGATGAGACCACAATACAGTAACATGAAGGACGAAATCGGGAGGATGATTTTGCGACGCTGAAGTTTTTACTTTTGTTTTGGGTGGTAATGATTCAAATGGAATGAAGTTGATAATTATGAATGAATATGGATATCTATATGAATCATTCAAGAGAATATCAGGGAACGTCAGATGCAAACGATCACACACTTCATTATCCTGTCACTTGGTATGCAACTAGCAGTTCAAGCTTTGCAGCATCTTTGAATACCTAATAATAAGTCAAGATGAGTTTCCCAAACATTTATGAAACATGTACCTACTCATTGAATTTTGTTTGTAGTGAACTGTAGAGAAAGTACTCAGTGAGGCAAGTGAGTGAGATATTTCTGGTGGTGCACTTATCCGAACTTTCAAGAAGTCGAAATGCGCCTTCCTTTTTTAACAAACAAACTTCCCATCAAGCATGACTGTTGCATGAGATTCCCACTTGAACACTTTCGTACTTGATTCTACCATCTCATACTATTTATCTTCGTTTTTACCCCAACAGAGTTCTTGATCAGTAGGCTAAGAGGGTTGAGGAAGACGTTCATCAATTTCATTCGCATTCATCGAAACCACTTGGCACAAGCTTTCTTTAAGGAATAATACTCACTTGATCCTCACTTTGACAACAACAACATCTTACTTCCTTTTTTCGCATAGAGATTGGAGAAAGAGAAAACAATCAATTTCAGCATTTAACATTCGCTAATCAGCCATTCTTCATATACGATTCGAGTGACAGAGAGGAACAAGGAGAAAACGAAAAATCAAACATCACTTGCTGTCTATTCGATAACCAGTCTTTACCTACGACTACAAGCAAAAGAAACAAGAAGATCAGAGGAAGGACTGGGGATATAACACCCAGCATCCATTCAGCAGACAGTCTCTATCCAGGACTAAAAGTGAAAGGGAGTAGAAGGAGACAGAAGGAGATCAACAGAGGACTCGGCATCTCTTTCAGAATTAGGATATACAGACAAGCAATCCCGAGTCTTCGAAATACATTCAACTGAGGTATATTCCAGTATTGTGCGGTCTTTTTTCAGTAAGAGTAGCTACTACAGATCTATCTTTCATTCAAACTCTAAAGACGACATCTTTCGATCGAGACGACAACCAATGCTTCTGTTATCCCCACAACTCCAATCGCTCAGATTCGACAAACATTTCATGTAAAATATCAATCGATAGCCCGCGGCTATATGTGAAGCAAAGAACTTGCCGAGTTCTAAATCTTAATCTTGGCCTATCATAACAAGTTCTTCCCACCAGGACGACAGCCAATACTTTTATTCGCTTGGGAGGTATCCAAACTCGAGAGGGGCTTGAACTCAGAAGCATCTGATCTGCATAAAGCTTTTTTAAGTATCTAGTGTTGAAGAAAGTCATCACCTACGGAACAATTCTACCCAGTCTGACAGCCCAACGTGGCATATCGATGTCGATAGGAACATTGGATCCGGAAGATTAAAGACTTTACTGCATGAAATTGGAACGAAAAGATATAAAATAACGAATTTCACTTTCCTGGATCAAGCCTGACCATATTCACTCCATCAATATTGATACATCTCATTCATTCATCGCGTCTAATAATTCGATTACACAAGCCTTGAGTACGGAGTTCGGCAAGATTCAGTTCACAGCCGCCTACACTACGGCAGTGTTGAACCGTATAATTCAGAGAAATACAACACGTCCACGTATCTGCACTCATTTTTCTTCATTAGCCTCACAAGCGCCACTATTTCATGTTAAGTCCAGTGAGCCATTCGATTCACAATCAATTCCAAAAATCTGGATCAGAATTTCTATCGATACTGTAACGAACACAATTTCACAACATCTTGATATTCTCGCAATCCAATTCCTTCAAAATTTCTGTAAGTTTTTTTACAGCTAGTATTTTGATGCTAGTATTGCGCTAAGGAGCTTATATCATTTCTTCTCCGGCACGCTCTTCAAAAGATACCAGTGGCTTCTTGCGCCAAGATTAAATACTTTCGTCTCCCTTAACTTCAGACCGAAAAAAGATCGTTATTGATCTGCTTGTCCACAACAAATATCTTTCATTTACAACCTTTCCCCAGGAGCCGACTACTTTTTAAATCATCACAAAATAGTTTGATTGACTCGTGACGTCGAAGACGAGGATTTTTCCACAGGAGTAGGGAGATTCGCAGACCATATTCAGTATCAAAGTTCAATTACTCACACATCTCAAGGCAATCAAAGATCTCGCCGCCAAGAAACTCGAGCATTCCAAATTCAACGACTTTGTACAATATTCGCTATGATGAATTGGGCAATAATTGCTCGCGAGGATCGTCTCTATAAGGGTAAAACCTTGTATAAATGGGATGTATCACCTGGCTTAGGTACGAAATCCACAATCTTATGTTTGTCGCAGAGTATACTAACAACCGTTTCTAGAACATCATTGCGGAACATGTGCGACACCACTTCATAGTAAGTCACATCAAGCTATGGTGACCTCATCTGTAACTTTGGTAGACTGACTTACTATGCTACTCCCATAGATGCTCGTTCAAAGTCATCTTGCCTTGGTAAGCATGTTGAACCTTGCTTCCGATTTCATCAGCAGCTGCATTTCCTTGGTAAGTTCCCCAATTTTATTAACCTTATTCTGGTCACCAAGTGCTTGATCATGGTTATGAGACTATCAAATAGTCAATAATAATGCTAATTTGCATGCATAATAAAGGAAAATCTCATGAATGTCTTGGGTAATTACATGGACTCTCATACCTGTATAGGCTAATTTGCTAATTATAACAGATGCAACACGTCTGATGAGATGCACTATACTCGACACAAAGAGATCCTGGCCATCATTCGAGAGATTACCACATTTGATCAAACTGATTTGTCTTTTGGATCTCAGATGATGAAGAGAAAAGACGGAGCTGACAAGAAACGGACAGAATCTGAGACTACATCCGAGGCAACCGACGCGATCTCTGAAATGAGCCTCGAAGAAGAGATTTTAACAAGGAGAGAAAGGAAACGAGCAAAGAAGTTGGGGGCAAAGACTAGAAGGAACGTTGTTGTTTGTAGTCAAGATGAGATCAATGGCATTAGCGAGGCATTGCATGGCCAAATCCACGAAAGTAAAGGTGCTTGGGAAGGTACCTATGCTTATGACAACCGTCGTGCTGATACATCATCTGCAACTGCTGGTCCAGTCGGAGAGGAGGATGAAAAATATGATGCATATGCGGTTCAGCCACCCACTCCAGTTTCCAATAAACAATACAAGACCCCCAACTTTCCGACTCCAAAGCAACAAAGGGCAGCTAAAAGACTCAATACAGTCACACCATTAAGGCAATCCAAACTCCGTGGTCACCAGCAAAGGTTCACGCCCGAAACGGCCTACAAAAACGATCCATATGGTGGTATTGATCCCGAAATTTTCGGTCGTCTTGGCATTGATGTCAAACCGTCTTCCAATCCGAAGCCCCGAAAAGAATTGATAGAAAAGCTCATCGCTGCCATCCAGAACGATCTACATGTTATCCGGAAGGAAGAAGAAGAGGCTGTTATCAGAGAAGAAGGCTTCTGGAGATGGGCCGGACGAAACGCGTTTCGGAATATCCTTGAATACCGCAAAATGTTTGACTGGGCAACTGGTCAGAAGATAACCCCGGGTCAGAAAATGATTGCGATGAGATCTGAAGCAGAGCTCTTTGGCACCGAAGCAGACAATTCTCAGATCGATGATGAAACAGAGGGAGACAATAGGCAAGATGGCTCAGAGAACGAAGGCGAAGTTGCTGCAGATGAAGACATACCTGCAGGATTGATGGGTGAGAGGCAGGACATAAAAGAAATGGCACATGGAAGCGAGGATAAATTTGTCGACGAAGAAAAGCAGAAAGTCAAGAAGAATAAGGTCTTGAGAATCTCCACCGCACACGAGTCGCACATTCGACCGAAATCAAAACAATATAAGAGTATTTCGAATAGACCTCTTGGTAAAAATAAAAATGTCTACAAGCGTTTTGAAACCGAAGGATTTGCTGATGCTTCCATGGAAGAAGATGGCAAAATGGAACAAGAGGGCATTGATGATCTTGTTGAATACAGTGTCAAATATGGCAGCAATACCCTCAAGTCTACTTCTACATGGGCGAGTGTTGTTGGCTATAGCACAATCGGCACTACAAGTCCTGCTAAGAAAGGAAAGAAAGTTATTACAGATCGAACGATCGTCCCTCCTCCTCTTGAAGAGGACGAGTGGATCACAGTTACGAAAAAGGGAAGGAAGAATTGATGTATGGATAAGATGCAGGTTGGCAAAATATGCAATGGAGGATTTGTTATAACTGGTGCTATTTTGTTGATGTACATTCACGATATGGCTTGCTTATTTTGCAATGTTTGCCTTTTGCTTTTCACGTTGCTTTTTGATGGCTTTCATACTTTGCTATTTTCAGAGAGATGGTGAAGTGGTGGTGAACTTAGGGAGAGCCTATGAGGCTACAAGCTCGCGAGATTACGAGGGCTTGACTAGGCGTGCACAAGTTTCTTTGGTCAATTTAGTTCATTTCGTTACTTTCAATATGTAGTGCCAGGTTGAAACATGATTTCCGCCAAAAAGCAATGTATACACTGCAATGAAAAGGACATATCGAAAACCATTTATGTTTGTGATGAAGACTCTATGTATCTATGGGAACTTGGTATTTCAATGGTCAGGTAGATGGAGAAGCATTGCAATGAAGTGATGAGGAAGGGAAAGATAAAATGAAATAACGAAAAGAAAAGATCGAGGTGGTGAGCTGATGAAACCATGTATTTTCAAATTGTAGTTTGGATTTGATTAAATAATAATGGCCTGTACCGAGTGCATCTGTGAACAGATTCGGAAACCTGGAGATTACCTAGATTATGAGTGATGATTTTAAAGAGTTGGAGAGTTGCGATTGTTTAGATATGCCCTAGGACTTGTTGTTTGAGTTTTGGGGTTGGAATTTTGAGTTCGGAGTTGTGTTTTGAGATGTGGGTGGGTAGCGGTATAGACCTCGGGATAGTAGTTGGAGATATGGGGTTGAATGGGATATCGGGGCTGGATATTGGATAGTTTGTTTCTTATTTCTTGTTGAGTTGTCTTGTGTGTTGATTATTGTGCTTTGTAGTGTGTGTTGGTTGGGGTCTTTTGGGGAGGAGGAGGAGAGGGAGGAAGAATGAGGGTAGACGGGGGGATAGGGGGAAGAGGGAGGATGAGGGTAAAGGGAGGGAGAGAAGTTTGGGAGAGAGGGAGGGGAGATTGAAGATCGAAGATTGTTGGGGGGTGGAGTGAAGGGTGATGGATATTTGGATGTTTGGTCGTTGAATTGCATTGAATTGTGTGGATGTGGATGTGGAGATGGATGTGGAGATGAAGGTGGATGGTAGATGCTACGTTTGGGGAACGGGGGAGTAAATGAGAATGGGATGGGACGGGATGGGTGGAAGTAATGGAAATGAAGAAACTGAAGCATCTGTAGCAACCAAGCAAAACTAGAAGATAGAGAGAGATACCGGTATCTTTGGGATAGTTTTTGAGGAAGATATCGTTATTGTCGTTGGTGCTAATTATTGTGTATGTAGTAGGTAGTAGTTGGAATGAAGAGCTAGAAGTGAAGAATCGAGAACGAGCGTAGAATCTTGAAGAAGATGGTTGAGGAAGATAAGAGGAAACGATGGGGGGATTGGATTGGATTGGATTGGATTGGATGTTCGGAGCTGGGTAGGTAGATTGGGTATAGGAGGAGCGAGAGTATAATGGGATTCAATGGATAGGATGAGGATGGTTGGTAGGAAGTGGGAAATGGAAATGGTGGGTATCTGGTGGCTAGAGGGTGAAGGGTGGGGGTAGGTAGAATCTGCTGGCTGGGTAGATGGATGAGTTTTCTTTTGATATTATGTGCGGGATGCTTGCAAACTCTGGACTTGGAAGCTGGAATGAAAGGGATCGATTATGGTTGAGCAATGGCCAATGGTCAATGACGGGTATGGGCTGAGACGTTGAGGAAACTACGAGTGAGAGTTTGGGTTTACATTGTTTGTATTTTGTTATTGTGATTGGTGGTATGTTATGCGAATTGAGTGAGCCACTCGTATTTTAAAATGGGATGATTCTCTACCTGTGTGAGGCTATGATGGCAGGGTATAATGTACTGTAGAGATACAAGTCTTTGAATGATGATATGAGAGATTAATGTGTTTGTACTTCTTCTTCGTACTCGTAATTGTATGATATGACATATCTTGAGAAGAAAAGGAGAAATGGATATTGAGATAAAAAATGTAGAAGTCTAGCCTGTTCTTTTCTTGAGAGATTTCAAAATGGTCCGATGATATTTTCCGCATGGCTACTCAGATGCAAAGACAATATTCAAATTCATGCTCAGGAATTGGCGGTGTACCAAGTACTTACAAGTGACATATCCATACTCATTCCAAGTAGCTTTGACATTCTAGTGTCGCCTTGTAGGGTATGAAAGGTCTCGGTCCGGATCTGATATTGATATTTCTGCATCCATGCATGCATGGATATACTCAATTGCGCAGCATACTCGCCGTGCTACCTGGACCCATGAGAGAGATATGTAGGAAGGCACTTGTAACTCGGGAAGTTTGTTCCTTCCGTTCAGTATACCTCCGTACGGCACTTGACAAGAAGGAAAAAAAACTCGCCGAGTATTTGGTGCTACGTCCGATGCGTGTAAGGAAATATCTTGGGGGGAAGTCTGTCAAATAAGGAAGTGACTAGGTTACAAAGAGACTAAGTTGAAGAAACTCGACTACAAAGAAAGTCGTTTTCACTTACTTTTGCAAGTATGCTTGCTATCAGATGGGAAAGATAGATGTGTGGTGGGAATTTAATTGGATTCCCAAGACCTACGTGATGCCGTACCGTTACCTGCCATTCGGCGACCAACATTATCCCTATAGTTATACCTTGTCGTCGGAATGTTGCATGGCTGGAATCTCGAGAGTTGGAGTTTCGCCAGGTAAATGGATGAAATGGTACCGTATATGTAGCCCGGCGGCTCCATGCGTTGTTTGGTTGTACGACTATAGCATTTTGATGTTACATGGTGGCAAGCTCAAGGATCAACCTCAAGGATGAGGGCAAATCTCTCGAAATATATTCGTGGATCTCGATGATAGGTAAGGTCCATTAATATCAAAGTTGTGAAACTTTGATAGTTGGAATGTATGAAGAGGGGGAACTCGAGCCACGAATCCGTAATCTCGATTCCTCCTCTCTTGGCCAATAATCATGTTGTGCCTTTGCAAGGGACCAGTTTGTTTGTATAATGTAGTTCATCAGTTCATCCCTCTTTCATGCTGTATGATTTCGGGTCTTTGCACTGACGGGGTAAGTTCGGATTCGGCAAAGGAAAATATATTCCATGCCGCTGTCGTATAACAGAAATTGTTACCCGTGGAGACTCGACGGTCACATTACCACAACTGTTGGACTAGAGACGATAAAGTAACCTTTAACATAGTATTTGACAGGGTGAGGTGCTTGGTGGTTGTAACGTGCGGCGTTTCTTGTCATTAGTCGGAGTCGTTCAAATTTTGTTGATGGAGGCTATGATTGGGTAGATACCAATGTAGCATTTGAGATTCCGTGACATCGGAATAGACTCCTGCCATTTAACGGGAGTGCTGATGAATTATGGCTGCGGAGACTAACCTTACGGTTGACTTCTCTGAACTCAAGAGATTGAATAATTGGTCCACACCGCATATGTACTTGTAAAACATTCACACTTCGAGGAGGATGTGCTGTATCGTATTGTACCGAAAATAGTTGACCATCTCGAGTTGAACACAAACACGAGATGAACTCATGGATAAGGATAAGGCTGAGGATCTTACTGGGGGCTTTCAGGGAGGATCGTTGGCGTGGCTGGTGGTTTGGGGGTACGAAAAGGAATGCAAACGAGGTGCGTGCGAACTATATATATGCCAATCACGAACCACCAGAGTGTCAGTCCGAAACAAGTAATGTAGTTGAAAGAAAAGATCAGACTTGGAAAAAAGCTCAACGTAGAGGACATACGTTTGTACGTTGGAACCTGTTTTTTCTCACTGGTTTATTGTACCACCGATGTCCCTGAGTATGAATTTTGACGCAGCGATTATAGACGCGTGAGGTGACCAACATTGAATTATCCATGCCGCTATTCAAATTCGATGGACATCTTGTAGCATCGGAGGTGGGATTGTACAATAGTCCGATAGTCAGTGGCAATTCTGTTAGACGAATGGCTTGACAGGGTACACGTTCGCCTGCATTCTGGAAGCGATAAGAGGAGCGGAAAAAGCAAATGTAGAAACACATCTCATCTGTGTGGAAGGTGATTGGCTCAGAATGTAGTCTAGTGTAACAGTATACTGAGATCTGCCAGCAGATGACCTGGGTACATATAGCGGTTGTGTTCTGGAGAAATGGAAGCGATGGGCATTGAAGACTATAAATGGTCTAGAACCATCCTTTCAGGTCTATGGCAAAAATTGTTCAAAGAGATGAATGTGATATGTGATGCTGGCCACTTCTATGGTTAGATTAGATAGCGCTCCAATGGAAGAAAGTCTTCTGTGCCATGCCATGACATGATTCTGGGCATTGTGTCTGCCATGATTTTGAACGACATTACATAGATAGGTAGCTAGTGGTGACATCTGATGCGATATTATTACATAATGATTTCCTCCTATAGGAGTTGGCCTTGTCGATGTCGATTGGATTGTCAAGAAGATTAAAGTTCGTAGCTAGGTAAGTAATATGATTGGAAACTCTACACACTCTACTCTGTACTCTGTACATGGTCTGATGGTATACGTTCCGTATACGTATAGGATCAGATAAAAGCTAGAAGATATCTTCGTCCCTTGTACTTGTCCTTGGTACCGATTGGTTCAAGACACGGTAGAATCTTGATTATATAATCCTCCGTCTTCTTCTCTTCTCTTCTCTTCTCTTGTATACTCGAGTATATCTTCGAGCGAAATGTGAGGTCCATCTAAAATCTAATAAAATAGTAAATGGAAAAGTACCTACCTAGGTAGATAGATACAAAGTACCCGGATAGGCTTAGGTCACTCTGCTAGCATCGATGTCTCGTGACCTTTATCTCATGTGTCGCTCCGTAATATGGGAAATTCGAAGCAATCGGAAGATGCGTGAAGTGATACCCGGCAAGTTGGACCAACGGCCGTTCACCTTTTCTTTGCTTACCTACCTCGATGCCCAGTTCCAACCGTACCAGCCTGCGCGATGCGAGGGATGTACTAGGGAAATGCCAGGAAGGTACCGACAAGTATTCAATTTTTCGACCCTGCATTAAATCTTTGCTCGGAGATGCCGTAACCGAGCCAATGAAAAATCAGATAATGTGAATGACCACGCTAAGATAATTTAGCTCACGCTAATCGCAATAGAACCACTCTTTATGCGTAAGTGACGCTTGCCTTTCCAGGACTCCAGGTGTTTCTTGATTAAGAGGAGCAAGTGGTATGCTACCGTATGCATAACTTATTACCTAGGTAGCGATCAATCTCTAACCTTACCTGCTAGGTAACTAAAGTCTTTTTCCTACTACGACCTTACTGCACGAGTACCGACCATCACAAAAACTCATTGGAATATTCGAAAAAAAACAAGCCATTCGTACAACAGGATTCCCCCTTCACACCGACCTCACCGTCCACACCGTCTCAAGGGCGAAGAAGAGTTCGAAAAATCATCACACTTCTCAATTTTCATCGCCGTCTTCTTCACTTGTTGTCACTTAGACCACCGTGAAGGGAAGGAGGATATTCTTTCTGATATTCTTTCCACTTCATTCAGCCTCTAACCCCCCTGACTTTACCTTACTCATCTCACCGATATTTGGATTCGACAAACTATTACACAACTACAGATTATGGATGACAAAAGCCACACCTTCGAATAAAGAGAAGAGAACGACGACATCCAGATTCAAGGAGCGACGAGGAAAGAAAGAAAGGGTTCTTTGAAACATCCGAAAGGGGGAGGAAAGGAAGGTTAACTTGGGTCACTGGACTTTATCGAATCAATCTTCAGTCACGGATTTCAGTGAGAGCAAGCAAGCAAAACTTGTGTCAGACAAGGAATCGGGCTTGCATGAGTGAAGTTAAATCAAATCGCAATCGCTCAATCCTTCCTCATACTATCAACTTCAATATTCCTTTTCTCGTGCTCGAAATCCCGGAGATCACGGCGATCATTTTGATCCAAAAGCCATTAAATCCAAGCGCACTTAGGTAGGTAACACAGCATGATATCTCAACACTTGTATTTTCCGTCCCTCTACCCCCTTTTATTTGGTTCTGGAGCCTTTACTAGAGCAAAAGAGGTTGATCGCATTGCCATTGCTCCCATTCAACAACGGCAAAGTCGAAGTTTGCGTAGTGCATTGTAGGCTCTGTTTCCCGCTCCAATATAAACTTGGCCCGTGCAACCGCAAATCACAATCACGACCACAACATAGAGAATTGCATTATTGTTATTGTTAGCACTTGGAATTTGCATAGCTTACTCGTTATTTTGTCAAGTCTATTTTCAATAACCATTACCGCGTTGTCGAGCTGACTTTCCACTTAATCAGGCCAACTCCTTGGATAACAGACTTTCAATCCTTATCAGAAGTTCTAGCCCCGAGTCTCTAGGACAAACTCCTCAATTTATCTTCAGAGCCTTCTGGATCTTGCAAACGTTGATTGGGTTCCAATTGCATTCTAGGAATAATTTCCAGTATTTTCACAGCATTTTCCGAATAAAGCACCAATCTTTACTGCATCACATCCTAGCAGCTTGTATTTTGGGCGCAAGTAGGTAGAGCTTACGAGACCAAGCTAAGATTCAAAGGCAATCTAACCCTGCCTCCTCATACGCATCCAAACGTCGGTAGAATAACCTCATCGGCGACCATATCATCTCGCCATCCCAGCTATAATTGCACGAGGAGATTGAAGAATAATTGATATTACCTCCACGCTATTCCAATAGCAAAGTCTTCCTCCTTATCCAAAGGCGTTACAGTTCTCACTACCTCGTAAAGAACATTACAACTCGAGTCTTACTTTTGAGAGTTTTCTCATCACATCTTTTGACGTTAACTACTGCTGCCTCTCCGCGCCCGTCAGAAATCACGTATTTCCAAGACCCGTCAACGTTCTCAGGAAGCCATATGTGCTGCGCACTTCAAACAGCTCCTTCGATTGGCTTTAAGTCGGATCACCCTTTTAGCAATATGAGTAACAGAGGCTCATCATCTCCGCATCAACGGAGGCAGGAAGTGATTCCTGTTCGATCGGCTGTTGCTGCAATGGAACAGCCTACCAAAGAAGAGTATGAAGCAGGCAATCAATTGGGCGCAACCGCAAACTCTTCAAGATACGACGATCAGCGCCAACAAGAAAAAGATTACACCCATACCATCTCGTCTAATACCGACTATAAAAAATCGGATAGAATTATGACTGCTGGCATTCCAGCAAATCACCAAAGTCCTAGGGATAACTCGTTAGAGCGGAGTCAAAGAGAGAGTTCCCAGGCCAGCGCCCCTGCGTCGTCCCCAGGTGGGGAGCAGATCCAATCTAATCAAATATGCAGGTATGGAAGACAATTGCTTTGTAGGTAGTTGTGACTAACTTTTTAAAGTAATTGTGGCACAACCAGAACACCACTTTGGCGAAGGTCTCCGCAAGGAGCAACTATATGCAATGCCTGTGGCTTATATCAAAAAGCTCGCAATGCTTCTCGGCCCACGAATCTAAAACGTCCACCAACTACTGCTCCTATCGGTTATTCTGGAGATCCTCGGGAATCCCCCTCTGCGAGCGGGTCAATTTCATTTCCTGCTGCTGGCGCAACCTATGTTTCTGCAGATCAAACCTCCACAGGAACATGCCCTGGTGGTGGACGCTGCAATGGTACTGGAGGCGCCGAAGGCTGTGGTGGATGCCCAGCTTTCAACAACCGTGTCTCAAAAACCGCTCACTTCACTTCTTGTCAAGATAGGCAATCAACACAAACACCACAGCCGCAAAATGATCAACCAACAGATGCGCCGTCTCCGATTGATGTCGCATCCCTTCAACTGCAAGCACAAAATACCACGGTCGTTGTAGCTTGCCAAAACTGTGGAACTACCATTACACCGCTCTGGCGTAGAGATGAGAGTGGTCACACAATTTGTAACGCTTGTGGTAAGTCAATCGACAACCCAGAAACCCATCCGAACTAACACATGATAGGACTGTATTATAAACTCCATGGTGTGCATCGACCAGTGACTATGAAGAAATCAATCATCAAGCGTCGTAAGAGGGTAGTCCCAGCAGTTCAAGGTTCTCAAGCTTCTAGTTACGAAACCAGTAGTACAATGGATTCGCCAGATTCTGATCGTGCTTCGCCCGAAGAGGTAGTTGAGCGAGGCACAATGAATCCTGACGGATCAGTGAACTTGGGTCTTCGTTTACGCAACGATCCAGGAAGAGCGCTGCCCGAACCAATCCGGACACAAAATGGCCAGCATCAGCATCAACAACATCCACCATCTGATCTTGGCGCCTATACATCGAATCCAAATTATCAAGGACAAAATCTTGACTCCTTGACTAATGATAATCGACTGCCGCCAATGGCATCATATCCTTCGCCAATCCATAATCGACTTTCCGTATCGCCCAACAGTTATCTCTCCCCTTCTCGAAAACGATCATTTTCCGCTACCGATATGGACCCAAATAATTCTCTCTCCTCGGAATCTGCACACGCATCAACTTTACCTAAACGTCTCTCATCCATAAAATCGATACTGAACCACGGCTTCACAAATTCCGATTCTGATGTTAATTCCGAAAATGACCTTAGCTTCCGCCGCGGAACCGATAGTCTGAGATTAAGTCCGAGCCGGTATTCCGCCGCTGTTAGCCCGAGTCTTAGTACCGTCGGTCCTGCTACTTACTCAACCAGTCCCTCGGGTAGTGGAGCTGGAAGTGCACTGAGCAGTGCGAAAGACCCGGCAAGTGAGAGCGATCGCGCAAAAACCGAGAGAAGGGAGATGCTACAGAGGGAAGCGGAAAAGATGAGAGAGGCCTTAAAGGCCAAAGAGAGAGAATTGGCGGAATTGGGAATCGGGTTGGATTAATATTTACCCGCCAAACACACTAGCCTTTCCGGTAAACTGGACGAAAAAGAGAGCTACGAAATTACGAATGTGCGTTTTACTTTGTGAATTTTCTCGCGGGGTTAGTGCAGATATGGAAAAGAATACTATGAGCACGAAACGGGAAAGGAAAGTGAGTAAGAATAGGAGTATGGGAGTGAGCAAGTTTGTCTCTGAGGACTGGGCCACACACTGCATGATATGATGGGAGTTTACCAGGGGTGCTTTTTTGGGGCATTACATAATCGGGATGGGATGGGATAAAGATACCCCTCTGCCGTTTAATGAATGGGGGATTTCATTATATTTATAGTCAGTGTGACATTGGAATGGCAAGAGGCGTGCAGGATTTCTCTTTGGTATAACTTCAGTGCCAGGTTCGGTCTTTTGATATTGGGAGTGCTAGATGCACAAGTTTGCAATTCTAATGTATACATGGAAACAGATACAGGGTCTAAGGCACAGGCAAGCAAGATAGGTGCAGGTAGTTCCAATGGAACAAAAAATGACGCAACAGACTCAATGTATGCAGTCCAATGAGTCTGAGCAAAATAAAACCATTATGTCAATATTGTACAATTCCAAGTTGAAAGTCTCACAATGTGAATTTAGTCTTCTCCCGGCTTTGGATTATGTATCTTGCTTTTATCGAAGACTAGTTGATGCACATACATACACACGCGAGAAATAGTAAGGAGACGTTTCGACATGTCACCGTCCATTCTATAGCTAATTTGAATAGGTGATTCGGTTGCAGAGAGATAACATGATATGTAATAAAAGGTAAAAGGCTGTTTTTCTGGAAACTCGCATCTTCAGTACCAATAAATAGGTGGTGGCTAAGGTAGTATTCGCGAGGGAAAAAGTGGATGCGGTATCGAGGTGTTGTGCGTATCGTAGGGGATATGGATGATATTTTGTTTGAATTGAGTGATCGCGGTTGAGGAGCCTTAGAACTCGAATGGAGGTGGAGGTGTGCGATGCGATTAGACTTGTTCGGCGCCCCATCCTCCATCTGCTTCTCTGTTTTTGGGAATGATCATTAGCAAAAGGCTTCGTAAAGACTGTGATTCTATAGAGAAATATGGGGGGATTGGGTATTTACCTCATGTTGGCAGGTGGCTCGATGGATGGAACAAACTCGAGACCAATGTAAATAAGACCGATTATACCAATCAAAGAACCGGCAATGATGCGCAAGACGTGGTCATGTAAGAGAATGGATCCAACGAATACGTAGACTAGGTTTGGATATTAGTTTTGCTTGGTTTGTGGTGGATGTTATATATGGGAATGTGGAGAGCGACGTACAGATTCCTCGTCCGACGAAGGAAAATAGGAAGGATGCATAGCGCGAGACTTGTGGTGGAATTTGGAATTCTATAACTCGGTATTAGTGATATGTGCGGCATGTTTGGCAGGCTCATTTGAAGTCCAAATCGAGATTGAATGGGTGGGCATTGTTGTGAAGCTTCCTGCTTAAGGTGGGTGAGACGAACCAAGAAGAGCAGTGCCTGGGAAATTGTGTTAGTAAACTTCATGAGCGGGACGATATTGTATGAGGATAACTTACAGATTCCGAAAATGATAACGTAACATCCAATGATAATAGATTGGCTACGATGGTGTTAGAAAGAGCGAATTTCTCGATTCTCGCGGTCGCATAGATATGTATGTTACTCACAAGCCTAAAGGAAAGAATTGAGAAATTCCACCAAGAACCATAAAAACACCTACTGCCAGATTGACAAGTCGACTAAGAAGAATACATGATTAGTCTCGTCTTTAATAATGAACTTTGAGCTGGCACATTCAATCACGGACACTGGGCGGTAGGTCTGGTGTGGTTGAGGGGCTGGGTAGAGCTCTCGATGAAGCCTTGGAGCTTGAGGAGCTTCCAATTGAATCAATTTTTATCATTTTGGACTTTCATCGTCTGCCATGACCCAATCGATTGAATCTACCAAGAAGCAGCATATATTCTTGAGCTCCAGCTGCAGCCTCAATCCTTCAACCATCACCAATCGGCCCAGCCCTCAATCTCAAGCTCAAGCTCAAAGCCGCGCAACGAGCACGGTGCAAGCAAGTTTTGGGAAACTCACAAAGCATCAGAGTAATCCATCGTTGCTGCAGTATGAGGATATCCGTATTGATATGTTATCTTTTCGTTCGTGGGGACTGGAGGAGAATCGTAGATTTTCCCGTAATTGGACGTTGTGGTTGTGGTTGTAATGTGTTCAGTAGATAGGCAGCATCAAAACAGATGAAGATCTTTGAAAGCTGGTGCACGCACCCTCATGTACCTCATTTCATCTGCGATGGAACACAAAGATTTTGCCAAGAAGTTATAAAACAAAGGAGGATACGTGAATTATTAAATTGGGTATAAATTATACCTGCTAGCAATATAATTCTCTAGTATTGTTATCTTCGTACCACGATTATAGATGAATTATTATTGTATTATTGTTTTTTCTCAAATCTCTTGAAGAGAGAAACATTTGACTTTCATCATTTTTTAATATATTTACCCTAGGACTATATTGTGTTGCAATATTAATCTGTCATATCTCTTCCCTTCACCTCCCTCATTACTCAAAAAGAAAGACAGACATCAAGCTCATGCCTTTCCATAGAAATTCGAATTCTATGCCAATCATCCAACCAAATATTACTTCGATCAAAATGCGTTGTATCTGGTAGAAAGCCTTCATTGACTCAAATGAGCTATTCTCAAGCGGATCATCTTTGATAACAGTATTCATGCCGACTTATACTGATCTTGTAAAGTCGAGGGGGCTCCATATCAGTGCGAGAACTTTGTTGTTCTGGTTGTCTGTCTGATGCAAGGTACCGGAACAATGTATAATTGAAACTCAGAGATGCTTGATACGATTTGCTGTTGCTGTGTGCTTTACGACGCCTATGATGTGCTTGAATCGGTCATGCGCTACATGGTTTCTCTAAATGCTTTGTTAACCAGTCAATCGCTATCTGCTGCAGAATTAGCTAAAAACTTGAGTTGAGACTTTGCTTTGCTCTGAGTTTCGTTTCCCAGTTGCTGAATGATGGACATGCATCTCTTGCTAACAAGCACCGAGATTGATTCATCTACGCATGCGCTGCTGGCCATCAAGCTGGCTGGTAATTGTTACGCGTAAACCACTAGACCAATCTCTGGTGGTGACTTGAGAAGAAGGCCAGAGTTCCAAGTGCAAAGTTGGATTTTGGATAGTTCACTCATATCACTCATTCTTTGTATGTACAGGAACGTCGATGATACTTCTACTTGTTGTTCATGCTGAAAGGCCGATTGTTTGACGTAGTTCTTCAATTTCGATATACTTTTCAAAAACACTCTCATTACAGACCCAAACGGGTCGTCCTGTTTGCGATATCAGATTTAGAAGATTGCATCTGAAATCGCCTAAACAGAAGGCCAAGATCAGAAACGTCGACGAGCACGGTCATGGTACATAGAGCAAAATGGAAATCAAATACAGCCTAACTGCAAGGGATTCGAAAGACAGTTAAACTCAAAACGCCTCACATCGAGCGACTATAGATAGTCTCCAGGTGAAGCATGACAGGTTAAGTATGATCAGAAAATCGGCGATAAAGATGCCGATGTAGCATTGTCGTCGCCCAATCAATCATCATACATACAACCCGACTCTTGACATACATACATACATACATACATACAATCTGTAACTACGGGACCCGACACCGACACCGACACCGAAATGTTCGATGGCGTTTTGTTTCGATTTCAGCTCTCGTTCTCCTTTTCTATCTTTTCCGCTCTCTCTCACTCCATTTTAGAACAGGGTCTACGTAGGTCTTAGCTGTTTCTTCTTTCTATCGAGCTTTTCAGGTTCTCTCCCCATGTCCTGCTATGGATGCTCACACAACGAGTGATATCTATGTTCCCCAAACACATCCTCACCTGTCCTCGGCTTTTTTTGACTTACCCATCAAAATTCGCGACGATATCTATCAACAAAGTGCTAGTTGTACCACATGAAATATATCTTCCCAGGTCTACGATCATAAAACAGTGATCCCAGGGAGAGCAAGTCAATGGCTCACATCGCTGTATGCTAATCGAAAAATGAGGGAGGAGGCTAGCGTTGTATTTTACAGACGAAATCGTTTCGTCTTTATGGATACAATGGGGTACCAGACCAAACTCTTACAGTCCTTTCTATATTCCGTTGGGCCGGTGAACGCACGTCTTATGTCTCACATCTGCATGGGTTTTCTCTTTGGGGAGAGCGTCAAAGAGGGACCAGAAAAACACGCGCTCAGTGAAGATGATGTAGACAGTCTGAAGCTCCTTCGACAATTCGCCAGTCTGACAACATTAGAAACTCTACTGTATAGCTTCAATCCTATATGCGCAAACGAAGCAAACCAGGATACGCACCACTCACGATTCGTTCGAGACGCGTGCTCACATGTTGATGCGCAACTGAAGATCACCATACCAACACTGCGCAAAATTATCATCGTGTTTCATGAAATGCTGCCGAAAAGTCAGGTGGTGGATTTAATGCGCCGCTTTCAGTGGACGGTGTGGCGAACTGATAAGAATGGTATTATTATTGATCAAGCATGAAGGGGAAGAGATGTATAGTAGCAAGAGAGGACGGTAGATGTAGGCATGGGTCTTTGCAATACTCATGATACTTGGGCGTTTTGGAGAACGCGACCTGTATTTCTGATTGTTGCTCTAAGAACATTTGCTGAAGACATAAAATCTGTTAGTTACCGGCTGTTTCATTGGTTTATCTGTTCACGATCAGAATACAACAAACAGACAAAAAGTTGACGTGCTTTAGCCAGATGGATCGTTTAAGAAAAGGGGGCTGACGTGATGAGATTTTGATAAAAATGAGATTGTATTGTAAAAGTGGCTAAAAAAAATACATGACAATACTTGCTGATGATTCTGTTCTCACCTACACAATCGACATGAAGATGAAGCTGACTGGAAACAAGGTCCTAAAGCCTTCAAATTAGCTTCCTGCTCCACTTGCAACAAGAGCCAAACCTCACATTTGCCTATGTGTTTCTACCGTGCCATGAGCCCCCCTTATAACGCTGCCCTTATGACAGAGTGATGGCTTGATTTGGTCGCGACACTTCCCCTTTGGAATGATCCAGAGATGTGGGATGATTGATCTTTGCTATTGAATGGATCATGGGCTCTCTTGCTCATGACACTTGTTCATGAGGTGCTTCTTGTCACATGGGAACGACATGTTGCATTATCTGGGGGGGCTTTTCCGCACTTGAATGATCAACAATCAGAAGTGTAAAGATGGGAGACAATATTTAAGGAGAAAATTGACTCTATCATTTCCCACTAGCACCCTTGGGCATGTAGAAAAAGCATCCAGTTAATCGCGCTCAAAGTCTAGACTTAGATCCTAAAACCTCTTCAACAAGCTCCACAGTGCCCTCCGAACATCCATAAGAGCCCTGATATCCCCAACCCCCATGTCCATAATTATGAACCACCCATGTAGAATCAATCTTCTCCTTCTCAATCCTAACCCCACTCAATCTCAATGGTCGTAGTCCCACTCCATGACGTATGACACTCAATGCCTCAATACCTTTTCCATTCGTCAAAGCAGGACATAACTCCACAGCACGCTTCATGATTCGCATAGCCTGGTTCGGACACGGCTGGGACTCCCAGTTTCCTTTTTGGTATGTGCCTCCTAGAATCGTCCCACCGCCAGCTGCACGTTTCATGATATAACATACCTCATCGTCTCCGTCGTCGGTACCGGAAATTGTTAGCATAACACCAGGATCGTTACGTACGAGTACGATTTGACCTCGAACGGGAATGACATCTTTGTCCATCACGCCACCGAGTTTCGAGGCTAAAAGACCTGTACAGTTCACGACCACATCAGCTTTGCTCCCAGAGTGATGTAGATCGCCGGCTTCGGATATGTGACTAATGATGCTGCGTTGAAGTACAACACCATTCTTTAGACATTGACCGACGAGGTAAGATAGATACACGGCCGTGTTAATGCAAACTGATGTGAATGCGGTTGCGCTGTCCGCACCAGCAGGGATCTCATTTTGTGGTAATACACGGAAATCAGGGACAACATCTTTGAACCAAGGATCAGTGGAGAGTAACTCGTTGAACCATTGACCTGTAATTCCTTGGGCATCTTTATTGCGATTCAAAATCACAGTGTCTGATGGAGTCAGTGAAGAGTCACCTCAAAAGTGGGAGGACCATGAGAAAATACTTTGGAAATGAATGCCGGCTTCTGGGACATCTTTCGCTAGTCTTGCGAGTTCATACCATGTTCGCTTCTCCCATCTACAGTCGGATGCATTTGATACCCTGTGAGTTGAGCATTAATGTCTCATTCTCTACCCGATTTTGCCCGACAGAGGAATGGTAAATTGTGACTCACGGAAGATAATTTGCACCAGCCCACGGAGATGTATATTCAATGTCGTAATCACCGGGCATATGCTTTGCAACAATGGTGACTTTGAAATTGGGATTTTGGGATAAGAGTAAAGCGGTCGTCAAACCGGACACTCCCGCGCTGCAGAGACGTCAGTCACTCTGAGTTAGATAAGAGAGAAAGGTTTGAGAGAACGAACCCAACAACCACAATATTTGGCATTGTCAATGTAGCTACTAGCCAAATCTTGGTAACAGGATTCAAATGATTAAAGGGAAATAGAAACAAGAGATATCTCACTTGCGATACTGAAAGGTGGAGTGTTGTGACACAGAAGATATTCCGGAGATGATCCGAGGCTCGAGCGTTTTCGTGATATCTTTATATCTCGTGCCAAGAATATTCTTTCTGAATTCTTTCCTGGAACATCCCTTTTATATATACTTCTGAATATCCTCAGAACGACTGCCTAAACAGATACTACTCTGGCGTGCATATAGATGCAAGCCACGTGCTACATTGGGCAAGTGCTTCGTGTCTTTCAAATCATACACTGACTAAACTTTCAGCCCTATCATGGCGGCGGAGTTTGAACCCCGCATCTTGAATGGTAGTTTGAAAGTCTGAAAGACCATGGATATGCTAGGTGTTTATTTTGGTAATATCCTCAAAGGGACTTCTCTATTTGACCAAAAGATACTGCTTCGTTCATTTCGTTGTATCAAGTGTATAAGATATACCTGAACTTCGGCCGTCTCCTTACTTGTAATGTACAATGTAAAGGCTGTATTTAATCTCGTGGGGGATTTATTTTGCGCAATCTTCTGTCTATTTCAGGAAATCGTCTTTTGAGCGCGCTTTCAGACAAAAGGCGGATTCAGATGAGATATTTGGTAATTTCAACAATCATATGGTGATCTGCCATTCGTGTCATCAATCATGTGCGGGTTCATCCAAATGAGTTTAAACCATTCTCATACCATCTCTAGGCATGGCCTTCGCCAGGTGCACTGGGAGAGCTGGCAGCAGCTCTCCTCTGTCAATAACGAAGCGGCAGCTACTCCGAAAGCGGGCCTTAGTTGTTCAGAAGTACTTGAAGCAAACGTCAAAGGCAGATGAGCGGCGTCACACAGCTCAAGCTGGTTGCTTTTGCGAAGTGTCTTGGATTGTTATCATCATATTGGACAATGTCAATCCGGATCTGGTAATCGTTGAGCAGGAAGAAGGGCGCTAAGCACCACTTGCACATTGCGTCTGACGTATTTTTCTACCCTCCTATGGTAGACCAAAAATGCCAACAGTCTCTCATATCAGGCTGTTGGCAGTCATCAATCTTCTCTTCGCAACTTAGACCGGCCACTTCTACAGATACCTACCATCAAATATGGTGTGAAAGTAGAGGTCACTTCTTTTGCGACCATGCCAAGCAAAAGTGGAGACGAAAAGATGACAGCAGCACTGTAGGAAAGGGTCGAGGACTTAAGCGACAAAATTGCAAACCTGCAAGGGGGATGTCGGCGCAACAATAGAAGCTGATGCAGCTGATGCATAATTATTTCTCTAGTGGTTCCTCCGACGCCTTTTCTACCTAGGAAGATGAAGCCGAAGATTTAGAAGAGTATAAAAGTCACTCCATATCTCAAAATTTAACTGTTGTTTATAAAATAATTGGATTTGGCTTTTTTTTTCGAGGAGGGAGGAGGATATGCAGATGTTTATGACCGTTTGGAACTGGAATTGATACCCGGAGACCTGGTGAAATCAACATTATGATTAGATATACCTGTTTGGACACAAAAATGCACTGAAATCTTTGCAGAGTATGGCGTTTCTAATTCATGATCAATAAAGCAAACATTCTTCTACAAACTTAACGATGAAGGGTTCTTAAGCATGTGTATGGGCGGCTTTGTAGTGAGTATAAACTACAATGATGATGACAACTGTCTTATTTTCACTGCCGAAGCATTAGCAATCATAAAAACCAGCCGTTTCTATCTTATTGTACACTGTCTTCTAGCCCTCAAGTCTCAATTCTTGAATTGGAGAGGGAAAACCTATCCAATCTCCTTCATGTTCTTATGGATGCTATGACTCCAATGCTGGGAATAGAAATGCTGGGAATAGAGATGCTGAGAATGACGTGACATTGATTCCAAAGTGATTGATATTGTACAAGTTTATTTACTGCCACATCGAAGTTGAGGAAGGCCATTAGCAGGAGAAACATCAGGTCGGGATTGACCACTAGAAAGCCCCCTTCAACAATTCAATTGTTCCATTTCAGTTCGGAGATCAATTTTTAAATCGCATTATGATTTAAAAGTACTCAATGTTTCATCTAATACACTAAATCTTGTAATTTTACTTGTGGTTGATTTTTGTAGGATTTATTCAGTTGATCAATTCTGGCATCTTTTTCCCCGCGAATGAGGGAGTTACTGTTCACGTGATACTATTTCTTCGGTGGCTGCACAGGCCACATGTCCAGGTTTCCTCTTCGGTAAATCCAGACTTCACTCCATCTTAGATAATTGATCTCACTTCAATTTATCTCATACCACTTCTTCATTCCCGCTCTATATCTGTAAAGATTCAAAGAAAAATAGTGGGTATGTGAATTTCTTTTCATCCCGGAAATGAGAAGATCAATCACTCTTTTCATGAGACATTGTCACGCAAATTACATGGCTTTGGCTTCAGGAATGGCTCAAGTCCATTGAATGTATCATTCTGATATGAGTAACATCCAGTAAGATAAAGTGATGACCCGCTAATCTTCAGACCAGTCTTTTGTTTCTAAGCTGTCAAACTACTTCTCTTCTCTTTCAAGTACCCACGTCCATTTGCATCCAGTGAACATCTTGGCATCATTATCAGGATACGCACACGCCTGCATAGCATTGAAACGAAGCGTATCCGCCTCTGAGTTTTCATACCTATCTAAATCAACAGTCTCCACTCCCGCCTCCGTCTGTTTTGTAAAAGCTTTCAACACCCAAGTTCCCTTATCTGTGAGATCAAAACAGACGTCATGGCCTGCCATTACGGTGACCTGCGGGATCACAACTCGCTTCCCAATTCCCCCTAGAGCTCTTCCATCAATTGGCTCAATTGTGGCGGATTTGAGCTTGAAGTCTTTATGATCGTCTAGAAATCTTTCCAAAGCACTGTACATACCAAGGCCTTTTGATATGAAGCAAACGCAGAAGGTCTTGAACTCTAGTTGAATTGAACGAACTTTGGGTAAATTCTCTAGTGACGAGTTCACTACCTCTGGCAATGGATTCCAGTAGTAAAACCGCTCCTGTTTTTCATAGATTAATTGCTTCGCCGATGCGTTGAGCTCGGAGGCACCGTTGATAGTCGGGACAGACCTAAAGGGCGAGTGGTGCGGAGACAGACTGGCCCAGATCTCAGGTACATATTTGATGACAATATTTTGGACCAGTTCACCTTCTCCGGAATCCATCTGCAGCTTCCACCTGTTTCCAAAGTGAAGGGAATAGATCCAGTTCTTGCTGCAAGCCTCTAGGGTATACATGTAGCGTCTACGCCATGGATCGTTCACGCCACATTTCAAGCTTGTGATAAGTTTTGGCAATTTGCGTGTGATGTTGCCAGGATTTGTACTTGTCTCTTCTTCCTTCATGCACTCCTTCGAAATTTGAACTAGAATCTCCATCGGAAGAGAGTGTAAGCCTGTTCGAATCTTTGGATTGGCGTGCGAGTTTGCAGGTGGAGTGGAGCGACTTTCTGATTTTCCATTTAGAATCTGTTGGGAAGACATCTTTAATTGGTACCTTTTGGTTGATAAATTTCCCGCAATAGTTGGTAGGTTATGAGGTAAGATAGAATAGTTAAGTTCGAACGGAGATGTTGAAGGAATTTGGTATTGTTTCAGATTCTGACATATGAATATTGGTTGGTTGCAGCGAGTTATCGAAATTATTGGAAAGTAGTAGACCAACAGGGTGATACAGCGAATTATAAAGTCCTGCGAGACTACAATCAGGGTTGGATTTCAAAATTTACATTTGTGCGCTGCTAGTAGCCCAACCGACTTGCCTACGGCGGACGACTTCGCTACCATGGTTTACGGTTCATCACATCCTTCAGCTTTCGGCGCCGAAGCAATAGTGAGTGATTACAAATCATTGGATTAGGGCCAGAAGTACTTAAAGTGATCTATTTTTTGAGGCTCTGCTGATTGCACAGCCAACTAGTCAACAACCGATAATTTCTCCTTTGTTAGTACATCATATTGATAGCAGATACATGTATTTGCAAGACTCTCTTCAATGTGGGAATGATCACAATTATTCCAAATACTGTTTGATTCAGATCAAAATCTACAAGTTGATTGATAACTTGACCTGAAATGAGTATCTCTACAAATTCTGAAAGCCTCTGAAGCAATAGTGCAAAAGCTAATCACAAACTCAAATTTTCCTTATCTTGAAAATCTTTGTATCTAATGTTGCGTCCTAAGCTTTTCTTGTTGCGAGAACATCATGTATCAAAATTTTCTTGCATTTTTAGTATGTCATGTGCTGAGAATACCTAATTATTAGTAAACCATTTACAAAGATTTGGTAGTCGTCGACGTCGCTACTCAGTGGAACTCTCTTCGTTGGCAGTTTTTCGTTTTCTTTATTACAAAAGTAAGTGCTTTTGAGATTCTAGTGTCTCCGAAGCCTCGAAGTCCTTCGTGGATGAAGTATAGCTTGATTTCATCCCCTTTTGACCGTCAGCTGGCTCATCAACATCCAGATGAGAAATTTGAGCCGGGGGCCTCATCGGATGATTCGGCAAAGTGAGCTGCATTTCTTTTCAGATGTAGCTTACGTTCCTGATTGTTCCGTATTAGTACGACGATCAGGCCTAAGAAGAGAGAAGTTTAAGCTGAGTGAAGTAGGTTAGTAGAGATATATTCGTGTGAGCGGATAGTATACGATTCTTCTGCAAATAAACCCAGATTAGTTTTCGCCGAAAATCTCCATGAGGGGAGGAGAGGTATGTCATGAAAATTTGCTTCTCCTAAATTGTACCGACTCAGGGCGTCGGCGAAGTCGTTTTGGTTTTCAGGACAATACTGGATCTTGAAGTTATACTGAGAGAGTCGTTCTACCTAGCGTCGGTGGCGCCGTTTCATGTTAGTGTTGATTGTGGTCATGAAGTGATCTAAGTTTTCTTGTAATTTACTATGTGATGGTATTTTTATCTAACTTCGAATTTTCATCTCCAGTACATATTTCCCGGCTACGTGGCTACGTGGCTACCCCTGCGATTGAGTGAACCACACGAAACAAAGTAAGTAGTTCTAGCTCTCTTCAAGCGTAAGGACAGAAAGCATTTAACCATTAGTACAACTGTTTTCGAAGCTCCACTCCTCCGATAAAATTTATGTTGGAATTATTGGTGATCACATGTTCTTTTGGATAATATTTTAATCAATCACACGCTCATGTTCTCATTAATGCTGTACTCCATTTGTGGATGGTCAATTGTAGCATTGAAATTTTTGATGTCGAGGTCAAAGAATTTCGCCCTATCAGTTCACTGTCAAAAAGTTTAATATGTTGCCCCGCACTAAAAAGGGGGCGGGATCGCTACAGACGTCGGGTAAAAAAGGGATGGGATGGCCCACTTAGTTTCCACTAGTACATCATCTCCCAGAGAGAATCAGATTGAGTATATCAGAACGTGGGAAACTCAATTGCATCGATTTTAACTGTGTCTGGATCGTCAACTGAGGGGATCTTTTCGGTAAAGTCGATCTTGTGAAAAGAGAAGTGGTCAAATGACTTGAAAATCAATATAATGAGACTTTGCTTGAAACTAAGTGTGCTAATTTGTGAATGTGAATGGTACGTGTGCGGCAATCGATACTTCCATCTGAAGCTTCAGTCAACTTTTATACTTTCGCCCTAATGGTTCAAGGAACGATAACACTCGATCTCCCCGCTCCTTCCGGATCGACATCAGAAAAGATTATGTTTTTATGACTAAACTACAACAACATGTACTACTGCAAGGTCACCTGGGTATACAATAGCTCTCCATTACTAGAAGATTTGCATACAAATTCCTATAAACGTACTGGTTAGTCAAGCTAGGGCTGGAGGTATTGAAAACCTTCCCGGGGAAAACGTTCCTGTTGACAGATAACGGTTTTTCTCCAAACAGCACTACTAATCGAACCTATCCCCAAATAAGCCATGTTTGACCTGTTTGCACCAACTGGCCTCTGCGAAGAACTTCTATAAATACTCTGCACTTCCCACTCATCTCACTTCTCACTTCTCCAACTCGACACAATCCACCACCTTCGACCATGCCTTCCGATTGGATACTCCAAATCCAGCAAGATCGTCTTCGACTTGGCTGATTAAAGTTCCAACTCCGAAAAGAATTCCAAATCCAGCAAGATCGTCTCCGACTTGGCTGATTAGAATTATACCCCGACCTTCAAGGACACTTCTCCCAGTAGAAATCCTCTTGCTCGACTGGAGAAATGGGGAGAAGCCACGGTGTACATTTCGAAGTCCCGTGTTAAAGCCCCATCCGGACACCTCTCCTTGTAGAGAGAGATCCTCTTGTGCATCAAGAGAGACGGGGAGAAGCGGCAGTAATGTCTTAAAGCCCCATGACGAGCCGTGTGACTGCTGCATCAATCTATGTGAAGTCCCTCTTCAACTCCTTCGTCTTTGCTTAGCTAACCTTATTTTTAAACAATCATTGATAACGGTTGACTCATGGCATGGTGCCTAAGTTGTAATATCTGTTTGGGGTTCATGGGTAGGGAACAACGGAGTTTGACAAGACTAGATTTTATGTATCCTAATCTAAATATGAATGACAAGATGCTTTGAAAAACAGTACCTCTTAAAGCAAATCGTAAATCCCTGTGCAAAATACACGTCATGCAGATATCTGTGAAATCTACTTACCTATGTGTACCTTAGTCCAGTGGGTGGAAATTACCGACAAAGTGAAATATCTAGGTAGGACAGTGTAGATGAGTAATATACTTGATGCTGTTCGGCATTGCTCATGATAGGTTTTGATAATTTAGGCATGTACCCAGCACACATGATGAATCAGAACCAAGTCAGGTTGTCCGAATGGGTGTCGGGGTGAAGAAGGATGATTGTATCCGGCTCCAGACCATATTCTGATGCGATGTGATCTGATCTTGTCAGAAAACCTCGCAATCAACACTTACTTAGTAGGTGAAAGAAGTTATAATTCATCAGGGTAACATTGGAGCGCGATCTCGGAATGTCAAGTAGATGTAAACAGCATAAGCCGTAGTCATTGTCTCGATATTCCCGCACAGAGAAGGTGGCTTTACTACCATGATCATCACTTGATCTCACAGACTTATACAACCTTTTCAACTATATAATGCACGAACGAAACAATTTCTTCAAGGTTATATACACAATCATAAAATAAGACTAAAACCAGGCCGCAGAGGGCAATGACAAAGCCTAAATGTTAATGCTCACTTGAAAAACGGTAAAAATCAAACATTGTGAACAAAAACAACAGGAAAAAGGCCTATCAGATGCTCGTCATTTAACGCATCATCATTCGCAAATACCAGCAAAGTCAGAGAAAATGATATCTCAATTCCTTGATACCATGAACAATAGCAAGAACCAACGACCACGAATACCCAATAACAATACATCCAGGTATTTACCAATAATAAATCTCCCAATGATTATACTCACACAAATGGAGCCAAGCCGTAAGTTATTTAACACGTACAGATACAATCCCTAGCATCCTAACACCCTGAAATTACAATTTCGCGCCCTTTCTATTGTATCTCGAAGAATGAAGAATCCATCATTCTTGGATTTATATATACCAATCCCCCATACACAAGTTTTGACACCGATAATCCCCTCGAAATTTCAAAATCATTGCTTTTGATTTGTGTTAGTTACGCAGTGCATTGTATATAAATACACTTTACTCAGAAATGGGAAAGAAATCTGGATCCAAAACTTATACCAAGTTATAGAAAGTGCGATCCAAGGGACTTGATGAGGATAATTTGTGAAGCAGATAGGACATTCTCATGAGTATATGGTGTTGTGGAAATCGTAGAGGTTATTGAGAATTCTGTGCTCTGCTGGGAATGTTTCTTTCTGTTCTCGAAATATAAGAAAAGAGGGGTGGGAAATGTGACACTTAATGTAAGTTTCTGCGGAGGAGGTGAGGTATGCCATTGCTATTATCGAACTTGGGAGAAGTGATTAACGATGATGACGATGATTACGACAACGATAAAAGATAAGTATCAACATCCCATCCCGTCCAACCCCGCCAAACAACAGCAACCCCCATCTCCAAGCATCTTCATACTTAATTCCAAGCAACGTTCTCTCCCCTCCCCTCCCCTCCCCTCCCCAATCGTTCTTAATCGATTGAACACACAATCAAATATATCGATCCCCCCCCCCTCTCACCAACCCATACCCAGAACACAACAATACATAACCCTAAAACAGTCTCACGCCTCACGCCTCACGCCTCCATCCAACACAATTTAAAATCTCAACCAGAAAAAAATCCTCAATATCTAAGCCTTATTATTATAAAAAGATAACTGCTCATCACCTACATAAATCCAATCAAAATTCGTAGCGTTTTCCCTCCCTGAAGTCACAGATAATAACGTATGAGTATCTTCTATACACATCATGAATACGTATACGCATTTCCAGATTTAAACACTCTGCAATATACAAGTAAACAAAACAAAGTTCGCAGAAGTGTGTGTTGCTATTATCCTGAGCCCACAATGTGCAAGTATTGGTGGGAGAATGAAGATTCAATTTCAGTGGGGTTTCTTGCTGAGCGAGCGATTGTGAAAGCGGAAGGGGATGCAGGGAATGATCTATTTCACCGGCATTCGTACACCTTGGTAATGTATTAGAGATAGAGTTGTAGAAAATGAGATGCTTGTGGTGATAAAACATTGATACGAGATGAATACGAGAGATAATCTAAAAATACGCAGAAAAATTACCCACACACAAAGCCCAATGCAAAAATCCAGCACATCACTTCTTTTCCCCCCATTGTACCCTATTCCTATCACCACTCCCTTTGCCCCGTCTATTCCCAGCCATCTTCGCTCTCCCCCACCACCTCCTCCCTCCACTTTCATCCCATTCAAATTGCATCGCCCAAGTCACCGCAAAAACCAACACCATAATCGGCACCGACGTAACCCAGTAGACCCAAAACTCCTCTCCACCCGGTCGGTACTCACCACTCATACTAAAAAGCGCACTAGTGTAAGCCAACGGTATAAAAACCAACCCAATAAACGTAAGAGTTTTCGAATTCTTCGCTTCGCGGACAGAAAGACGTGCTTCGTGTAGGGCTTCGCGGTTGGCGACTATGGAGGAGAGACCTTGGGTTGAGGATATGATTGTAGTTACGCGACTATAGAGGTTTGAGAGGGAGTTGTGGATGAAGGGGAAATCGAGGGTTGAGGAGAGGTAATGGGTGGGGTATGGTGGGGAGTTGGAAATTCTCAATGTTTGAATGATGGATTGGATGTCGGAACTGTATTCTGAGAGGAAGCGATGGGTGAGTTGTAGACTGGACCATTGTTCCCGTTGTTCTGGCCAAGAGTTGTAGTCTTGCTTATCAGTTTGACGGGAGAGTAGTCCTTCTGCCTAATGGTTGAGTGTCAACAGTAGTAATATCACGAGATTAGTATATGGATGGCATGGGAAAAAGCACTTACCCTCTTCAATCTTTGAACGATTATTTCGAAATAGTCAATCAGTTTCATGTAATGAGAAGCTACTATTTTCTTGAGGAAAGCAGAGGCAATCAATGGGGGTGTCGCTCCTTCCATCTCAAATAGAAGTGGGCTATGATGCTCAAAGTAAAAGCATAAATCATCAAACATACAGGTCCTTGGAGGTCCGTCCAATGCCCCATTCAAGCCGTCTCGGATCAAGACATCAAGGTCGATAAAATCCATATAACCACCTTGAAATAATTCACTCTTAATCTCTTGTGGAAAAACACTCCGCGCACGATATACTTTATGGACTGGTGGTTCACAAAGAATGACAGCTATGAGCCAGATGTTAGTGTTCCATAATAATCCGTGCGAATGTCCAACTTTAAATGATAAATCCCATACATACCATCCCACCCTCCTTGATTACGAGTAGCATCTCTGAACCAGAAGGAACACTTTCTCTCCACTGCAGCTAGACTATCTAATTTATACTCGAACCCAATTCCTGAAACATGTGATCCGCTCGTCGCACAGATCGTTCGCCAGTGATCATAATCTGGACCAAATCTTCTCATTTCACGATATTTGAGACGAAAACACTTATCCGGATTCTCCAGTGAGGGTAAAGGAGGGCTATCACTAAATCCTTCCTGGATATCACGCATATCCCATATTGTATTTCTTCCTTGCCTAGCGAAAAACATTGGGTTCATAAAGAAGTATGAGCCATATGTTTCTATAAATTGCGGATCTAATCCTTCGAGAATATACACCCTCTGCATTGTGTTTGGTTTTCCCTTTCCATTGTCTTTCACTCGTCGAGCAAAGTGATTTTTGAGTTCGGAAACATTTTTGAAATGTTCAGATGTTACTGTGTGATCAGGGCAAACATTCAGAACAACTGATCTTGATGTCCCCACTCGGGATCCAATCCTATCATTTTTGGGGTCTGGCTTATAGATGGAAGGGTTCCGTGATTTGAGGCTCTTGATGAATTCTAGATATGGTCCTTCGGAACATAACCATGATAGGTCACTTGATTGGGTGTCCGGTTGATATCTAGAGGTCATTTGACAGAATTAACTTCAGTTTTGTCTGCGGGTGTCAATAAGTTTACAAAAAAAAAAAAAGGGTTTCTCCTTTCCCAACGGTGATGGGGGGATTCAGGTAGCTATAAAACAAGGGGAATGGAGGCTGGGTTCTGCAAGAAGTCACGAGAGTTGATCTTGATTGGCCTGGAATCTGAGATGCATACGCAGTGGCGCATTTTCGCAAGGCGATTGCCAAGCTAATAAGCCCTTTACTGCGTATATCAACCTTGCCTAAATGTATGTTTGATGCCTATGTTTGCATATATCAATCAACATTCCAGAAAGTCCAAAGATGTAAATACTTCTATTTATTCCAATTTGACTGAAGAGCTATTGCTGATTTCTTCTTTTCTTTATCGAAAGAAAGTGAATTGAACTGAAGATCAACAACACGCAGAAAATGGGAAGAAAATTTGTACAGTCGTCAACCCTTTTATAGCTTCATCGTGTTACGTTGCACTCTGACGAATCTCGTTTTGCAGCACTTGCAGTGCAGTCATTTCTTGAGTATCTTCAACTACGTCGCAACAGCAATTCAGAGCCTTCCACACGCAATGGTCATTATTCATGAGATATTGTGATCTATTGATAAACCGCAAAGATGAACCAAAAAGGTATCGTGACTACTTCGTAGCCCATTGAGAAACAAATCATAATTTTACATCCATTCCAAGAGCGGAAAATACTCCGGACCACCCGTATCAGAATCTGTATCGATCTATCTACATCTGGAGCAATACACTCGGCCATTGAAGACGAGGAAATACAGGTGCGGAGGAAAGCAAACACGAAATTGAGTACAGATTCACCACGCGAACGATGAGGGCAAAATAAGCAAAAAAAAGTTTTCATGCAAATTAGAAAAGATTGAGCAGTATAGACTTAACACAAAACTCAGACACTTCTGAGCTACTCAAGATCTAAACCTTGAAGTGATCGGGGATTACAGATTCTTGAAATCTTGAAAGTGCCAATTGAATAATGAGATAAGGAGATGTATGAGTGACGGACGACGGAAAGATAACTACCTATGTTATGAAGACCTTCAAGAAGGAACAGAAAAACCTCAGGCCAACGAGCGTCTGTTAGTCCAGATGCTCTAAAAGGACAATTGCTAATGACGCATACGCTCGTGAACACATAAGAGATATAAGGTAGCTTCTCTTTGGGAGTACAGAAGATACAGCTTTTTGATTTGGTATTTCTTGAGGACTAGCAGAGTAATAGTTCCATCCCGACCTTACCTATAACACCCAATTGGTGTCAAAAGCCAAAAAGCAAAGATGGAGAGATACTTATTTGACTCTTGGGTAATAATTGTATGGCACCACGATGGCGTGTCACGGTTGTACCAGTTTTTGATGCATAAAAAGAAACCAAACTTTGGGTGGTGTGGATCGTGAAATAAACTGGATCAATTTTCACTTACCCCTATAACTCTCTGGAATCCGGATACAGGGAGTCCGATGATTCGATTTGTACTGAAGATCGTACTTGTCGACGATAATGACGATATATATAAAGTATATAGTCGGTATACAATGTATCTGCTTTTATATATGAGGATGACAAGTACGTACAAGCTTTTCATCAAGTATTATTCTAGAGGATTGACAAGTTCATACTAATAAAGGGTGGCTGGTGGTTTCTTAGTCCATCTTGGTACATGGTTGAAATGTCGCGTCGTTATTCGTCGATATGGTAGTCTACATGGTAGTCTCTGGTACTACTAATATGATTAATCATGTGACACCTATCAAATTATCAAATTGTCGAATGATTGAACAACTAACGTGGTTTATTAGTGAATGGTTTATATCAGTAAATAGATCACTTATTTTACATACAAAATTTGTCTATACATAACCATACACTTTCTTTGTTTATAGATATAATTTTCTGAAAATTTAATATAAAATATTTCAATATATAAGAATATTAAAAATCTTATTAGTTTTAAGAAATTTGAATTTATAAAGCTGTTATTATAAAAATAGATTTTTTATAACAAAAATCATAACAATTTCCTTTTCTTTTTAAAGTATAATAAAATTATTTTATAAAAATTAGATTAATAAAAAACCTAGATTTTAATTATTTTTTAAAATCTTTTATTTAAAAGAATAATAATTAGTTATTAAAATATTAATATTTTAAAAAGCTTGATTTAAGTGGTTTTCGAAGTAACTCATTCACTGATATAACCCACTCACTAATAAACCACATTAAATGATCTAAATGAACTATATACAATAATAATACTCTGTACATACGGTGGAATTAGCCCCGAGTTCAATTGTTAGCTTGGCTGTAGCTTTGTGGCGATTCTTCACTCAGGGCTTCGTAGTATTGCGCTAGTCCCAAATAAGTAGGCGGTAGATCCCTCGATATTCGGACAAGGCTAGCATGTACTATCTGCCCGAAGCTCTAAGCCCAATATAGTATAGTCAGTATAAACAATAGCTCATCCTTGCCGAGTTGTTGATTTTGATTTTTCCATGGTTAAAGAAACGCGACGGAATCAGATTATTCGCACACAACTTCGTCCCGTACAACAATTCACAATTCACAACAACCACTTCAATCTCAATTGAACTCAATCAATTACTTCAATTTTCAATCGTCTCGGATTATAATTACTTTTTCACATACGGCAAACTTTTCAAAGCTCTATTTAAATCCATTCATCACTCGAAGATTTATTCTCGAGGACCGTACTTTATCGCGTCTCTCGTCATCTGTCAAGCTTGAATAACTTCATTCGACAAGATGCCACCAAAGAAGATCCCAACACCTCCTACTCGAGTTTCATCTCGTAAAACCTCTCCTCCAAAGAACATCCAAGTCGAGGCAAATACTTCAAAAGTGATGAAGAAAGCTCTCGCACCCAAAAAGGCTGGTGTCGCAAAAAATGTCGCGCCTCAAAAGAAAGTCTCTCCAGCTGTCGCAAAGAAGACAGCCAAGGCACAAGCAGCTTCAGCTAAGAAGACTACCACTACTACTAAATCTGTTGCCGTTAAGAAGACAACTATCACCAAAGCTGCCATGGCAAAGAAAGTCGCTGCCGCTAAAGCCGCTCCATCTAAGCCTGCTGCCCCAAAATCAAACAAGCGCAAATCCACCGAAGATGTCGATGAGCCTGTCGCAAAACCATCGAAGAAGGCAAAAGTTACCAAATCTACTCCTGCCACCAAAAAGCCTGCCACCAAAGCAGCTGCGAAGCCTCTCCCCATAGTCAAAAAGCCAAAGGCCGCTCCAAAGCCCAAGGCTCCAAAGGTCGTGAAGCCAAAGATTGTCAAACCAAAGGTTGTGAAGCCAAAGACAATTATCAACTTCGCTCCTACTCAACTCTTGGACATTTTTGTCTTCGGTTGCAATGAAGCTGGAGAGCTTGGTCTTGGTCTTCAAACTAAGAAAGATACAATCAATCGACCAGTCAAGAACCCCGCTCTCACTGCTCGTGGTGTTGTTCAAATGGTTGCTGGTGGTATGCACGGAGCTGCTCTTACCAAAGACAACAAGATCCTTACATGGGGTGTCGCCGATGGATTGGCATTAGGCAGAAAGACCGATGACTGGGTTGCACCTGAGAGAGATGCCGATGCAGAGTCAGATGATGAATCAGCCGCCGCAGATGCTCGCAACCCATTGGAATCAACACCGGGCGAGGTTGATTTGACCAATGTACCAGAAGACACTATCTTCACCCAGATCACTGCAGGTGACAACGCTACTTACGCCCTCACCAATGATGGCTTGGTTTATGGATGGGGATCAATCAGAGTAAGTTTGATCACTACAAGTTTTTCTGAATTATACTAAATATATACTAGGGCGCTGATGGTCCAATGGGCTTCACCAAAGATGTCAAGGAGACCTTGGTTCCAATGCTCATCCCTGGTTTGAAGAACATTGTCAAGCTCGCTGCCGGTAACAACCATTACCTTGCTCTCAACAACAAGGGTGCTGTTTTTGCATGGGGTGCCGGTGAGCATAATCAACTTGGTCGAAGAATCGTTGAACGTTCAAGATTGAATGCTCTTGTTCCTCGTGAATTTGGTCTACCAAAGGCCATGGTCGATATTTTCTGCGGATCAGAACATAGTTTCGCCATTCACAAGAATGGTACCGTTTACTCTTGGGGAGCAAACAACATGGGTCAATGTGGTCAATTCAGCAAAGATGGTACCTTGACTGAAGAAGTTACTTCAACTGCCACCAAAGTCGATATTCTCAAAGACAAGAATATCAAGATGATGGCCGCAGGCAACGCTTCCAGTTTGGCACTCACCCATGAGGGCGAGGTGCTTTACTTTGGCAAAGCTCAGGATGGTCTTTCTGGCCATGATGTCGAGGCACTTCCAGAAGATGTCATCATCAGAAACGAACGTAACCAACGATCAATCATCAAGACACCTCTCTCCTTCCCATTCAAGGGATCATACATTGCCATGGGCAGTGACCACAGCATCGTTCTTGGCCCTGATGGTCACAGTCCTCACTACTCTTGGGGATTCAACACATACAGACAGACTGGTCTTGAAGATGATCAAGATGTTTACATTGCTGATGAGCTCAACTGCAAGCACATTGAAGGAAAGAAGCTTGTCTGGGCAGCAGGAGGTGGTCAATTCTCCTTCTTGGCTGGTATTCCAGAAAACTAAATTTTGGATCGCCGCGTGTTTGATTTTTTCGCTGTAAATAGCGCAGTCCGGATCCTGATACACCGTAATCAATCCAGCTCGAACTCGGCCTGACAGCATTTGTTCAATAAGGAAAACATACCTGCTTTGATTTTGAGAGACTGACCTTAATGGATCTCTGGTTTTTACCTAGGACTTTGATCCGGACCATCAAGGCAGGTCTCTCTCAATCACGGCAGATATGTTTTCCTTATTGAATGATTGCAGGAATGGCGATACTAGAGAGGATTGAGCGTGGTTGTAGATGGTGATGGCTGCATTCATGAATTGGCGTTTCGGAATTGGACTGTATGGATATTAAAAATGGGAATTGGTCATGGCATTATCATGGTGCATGGAATAGAAGCAATGGAACATTGGGATGGATTAAACTGGCGTTATTTGTTTGAGTAGTCTTTTAAAGAGACTCATTATCATCGGTCATGAGAGACCTTTTTATGGAACTGTTGGATTTGTTAGACTTGTCTTTCGTTGCTTGTTCAAAGTCATTGCGTTTGTGGTACATAGATTACGTTTTTATTCTCTGGAATTAAATATTCATAAATGAATATGTTGTGCTTGTGGAGTTGTGATGTGATGTGATACGGTGTTCTAGATTAAGAAGTTGGTGAGTTCAACCGGGTGGTTAAAACACATATCGTATGAGAGCCTCAATCCCAGAATGCGAATACTCATAGTACTGTATGAATATGTAGTTATTAGCATAAAAAGAAGCCTTGTGATGCAAATGGGAAAACGAGGATGAAGTAAATTGTAAGTAAGTAGGTAGGTAAAAGAAATTCGAAACCATGAAGATCAAAAATCCCTCTGCTGGGTGGTACATGTAAGTTTATGCTTCTTTCTCTGCTTTTCTTCATTCATATAGCTACATTCATATACCTATATCCATATCCATATCCATCCATACACTTCAAAAAGTATATACATCAAAAAGTATTCAAACCAACCTAATAACACATTACAAAAATGAACGTCAAAATATTGATGGATATCGGTATCTAGGTAGGTATCCATTAGTATAGTATATATAGTAAAGTATATTGTTGTATAATTATCTTGAGAGTTGAATCTTTATAAGGTTAATGTTTTGTTGGAGAATGGAGATGAGATTGGATGGTTAAGGAATGAAAGGGCTATGGCTTCTGGTGTTGAGGGTGAAGTGTTGGATTAGAGTGGATGGATGAATGAATATTGCAACGAAGAATTGAGAAGAAGGCTCGTGAGATTGTGTTGACTGGTGGTCGTGTGTAGTGTATGCTTTCAATGTTGGGAGAAAGCCCGAATCTCAGGAGGGGTCTCATTGAGATTGTTTATCTTTCAAATTCGAGCTTGAAGAATGGATTTGAGAGGCGGGATTGTTGTTGGTAGGTGGGTAGATGATGGATCGTATTGGTATTGGTATTGGTATTGGTATCGTCGCGTTTCTCTTCCCGTTTTAGTTAGATTGTATTGTATTGTATTATGAATCGTGATGCTAAATTCCAATACCTAGAGGGGGAAAATATTTCGGTATCCACGATATGGATCTATCTCGTGTGTAGTTGTATAATCTTACCAGGGAACCTACAATCCATTCGTTTATGAGAGGTGGTGAGAAATTTACTCACTGGTACTTCTTCTGTCTTTTGAGAAAGATAGTAGATATGAACGTCTATAGAGTCTAGACCATGCTTCTGGCTTGATGATAGAGCTAGCTAGTCAGGAGTTTCATTTTGATCTCTTTAAGGGGGTTTCAAATAGGCTCGCGGATATGGATTCGCGAGATTGACATATATCGATTTTGGTTCCTTGGGAGAGGGAAACTTGAAAAAGTCGAGGTATTTCCTGCAGGCGAAAGGAAGTGGGAAGAGGGGAGATGGGAGAGAGATGAGAAACGGAGGATGTTGAGTATTGCTGTAAATAAAACGAAGATCAGAACAACCATCGTATCACGGCTTCACAACAAACTAGGTTTCATCCGCGGCAGCAGTAAATATAAACAAATCGTACAATTCAATCTCGATATGCTCAACCTAAAGAGTCAGTATACGCACCATCGTATGAGTATCTAGGAGAACCGACGAACTCCCCTTGATAAACTTCCAGCTGTTCATCTCTGGAAGTGCTGCCCGCGTTGATTCTACACTATTCTGTACGTGAAAAACATATGTTAATCTTCTCTCCTACTTTACCTTTATTAGAAGTATACATCGATAGAGTAATCAATCGAGCAGCGCATGATGTATCTAATCCAGAAGAATGCACAGTCGATTAGGAACCAAGACCTAACCTTAGCCGTGTGAAGAAACCCATATATGGTCTTATACATTCCCAAAACTCGAACGAAACCGAGACGAAACGAAGGAAAGAAGGGAGAAGAGATAAAAACAAGATAAAAATAAGATAAAAATAAGATAAATATCAAGAAAATGAGAGGGAAAAACAAAACTATAATCAACTCTTCATAAATCAACACATTCTGCACCCGAGAAATTCGACCAAACTTCTATTTTTCAATATCCTTTCTTTATTCTCTCCATGTATTATTCAATCAAGTTTTATTCGTATCGTCGTTCGCTTGTATCATGTCTGGTATTCCAATTCATCGTGTATCTCTTCACACAATCGCCGTATCCCCAACAACTATGCTGACAACACAATATTCAAAAAGAAAGAACAAGAATGAAAATGCGACTATATCCTCACGGTGCAAATAAACAGTAAAAAATACGCAGAAGAAAAGAACAAGAAAACAACAAAGAATCGTCAACTCAAGCAGACAATTTAGTGTTCCAATATGTATAAAATAAGAAAAAGAACCGATACAAGAGCGCTGGCCTCAAAATGAGAAGCAAAGAGAAGATGCACATATCTTGAAAATCAACAGGAAAAGTTATCTCTATCTGCACATTTATACAATTTTTCTCACAGGCAGACAGCCCTTTACACTACACTACCGTACCACACCGTATCACACCACACCACACTACCAACACGAAACAATCTGGCCCGACCTCCCCGGTACAAAAATTCAAACCAGGCTATCGATATCCCTCCCGACTACAAAATGCGCAAAGCCAAGTCACCAAACTTACCCAGTATCTCCAATCTCAGCCCAGGAAGCCAACCTACAGTACCGCTTTCCATTGCTGACCAGACGACCAGTCAACCAGAATCCAACCCGAAAAAAAGCACACACGATGAAACACAAATCCATGTCTATCCCTGTTCACTAGACCAGTAAAGTGGTGGTCAACCTAGATCGAAGTCGAGGTTAAGATTGGTCAATTCATTCTAACCTATCGACATAAATGAGCGGCCTGTACAATCAACCAACAGGTCGAGATAGGTAGGTCAGGTAACAACCATAAGACGGATGGAAGTGCATGGTATCGAGTTATAAAATGCTCGAGCTTTCTGAATTAGTGCGAAGGGATTGAGAGATATTTTTTCCAACTTTTCACAACAGTTGCGCATTTCGTCTCCTAGGCAAGGGAAACTTCCCATGCGATTAACGTCCGTTAGGGACTTCACAATATACTGAAGAAAAGGTGAAACAGAGTGATTTCATCGCCATCATTCATAGCCCGTTCACAAGAGTAAGATCCATAGATCCAAATCGCGTAGTTCTAAAATATCAATTCATACGTTGATTCCTAACCTCCACGTATCGGAACCCAAAAAACCAGGCGGTATAGCCCCCTTAGGCACTCTATTCTACCCATGTGTATGAACTTCCTTTCAATCTTCTATCCCAAACATCAGAAACACCCCCTCTAAGCCTTAGGCTCAACCCCCTCAACAGCGCTCTGAATAGCACTTTCCAATGCAGCAGGGTTGGCACCTACAACCTCTGCAACCTTCTCCGCTCCCTTGAAAATGATAAAGGTAGGCATAGCTCTGATACCGAGCTCTTGTGATACCTCTGGCAACTGATCGACATCGATTTTGATGAAATGGGCGGCGGGGTATTCTTCCGAGAGCCTATTTGATGTGAATTAGTATCTTTACATCTTCTTCACAAAAAGACTAAGGGGAGGTAGATAAACAGGGCAATAAGGGGAGAAAACATACTTGACAACTCTAGGAGCGATAGCCTTACAAGGACCACACCATGTTGCAAAGGCGTCGAGAACAACAACTTGGTTGTTGGTAAGAGCAGCCTTGAAATCAGTTGCGCTGTTGATTCTTTATTAGTATTTGTGTTTTATATCTGTGTTTATACTGGTTATGGGTCTCTTTCGGAAAGCTCTTCGTGCCCCACACAATCTACACATATCATCGAAGATATAGCAAAATATTGTGACGCGACCGAATCGAAACATAGATGTATTTCGATATCACGGTTCCAAAATCGAGGGGCAGAGTATATATCTCGTTTCCAGAGAGAAAGGGGGGAAGGGGGGCAATACTCACTTGGCAATGTTGTGAACACCCATTTTTGCGATAGTTTGATGAAAAGCTCTTTTGTTTATAGATTGACAGAAGATGGTGCGATTATATGTTTTTGGTAATCGTGGAAGAGATCGAATGAAGAATGACATGTGAAAACTCTCGCAGATATCTGAAGAGTATTTATATGTTTTTGGAGTTTGTTGAGGCGGACGGGAAGAAGGTGGGAAGAAGGTGGGAAGGTATGGAAGATTCGTAAGATGGTTTGTTTCTCTTCCGATGCTTTCTAATGCCGATTGATTTCTAAGAGGGGTAATGGTTTGTGATACCTGGTAATCCAGGCGGCAAATGACGAAATGATGATTGTGTAAGCAGAGATGGGCTAGATTTTTTATCCTGGTTAAACGAATGATAAGATATGATTGGCTGAGGTGTGTTTGGAGTGTGTATGATTGATTCCAAAGAATCTTCTAGTTATGTTTTCTAGAATATTGTTGTTTCGGGTATAGAATGGTAGAATGGGTGACATTGATATCTATTTTGGGATTATATCATGATTTGTATTTGAATTCTTTCCGTCTCACCGTCGCTGTTATCTTTTGATTGATTCCTTTTTACAAGCCATCGATATATATTACAAACTCGGCGACGGATAAGTATAACATCATAACATTATAACATCATAACATCATAACATCATAACATCACAACACCACAAGTTCGGTCAAAACATCTATCCGTCACCTACTGGCTGGTATTCATTCATCAATAGCTATCTAGCTACTTACGAGCTATCATCCAGACACAATCACCCTGCTTTTCTCATACCTACTTTTTAAGTCAAAAATCACCATACCTCTACGATAGACACTATACAATTATGCAATCAATACATCACACAAATACCCCTCCACCCTCCACCCTCCACCCCTCCACAACATCACAACTCCCCAGCTCCTTCGAGACCTCAAATCCCTACTCCGTGATACATACACACACACACAGAGACACACACATACACACCCACATATACATATCAAATAACAATATATTAAACCTCATCAATCGCAGCAATAAATACATATCCAACTCCATTCATTCACCCATTCATTCATTCATTCTCTCATACCTATTCCATATCCCTACAATTTTCCCCACCCAATCTCCCTCCAAGTACACATCACATCAAATACACGTTCAAATGTCTATCAAAAGCAATTTCAGATTCCACAAGAGCGAGCACGGATATCATATAATATAATACAAGCATAATTACGAGTAGGTATTTACTACCTACATCCCCTGACTAAGCTAAGCTATCTCATCTCATCTCATCTCATCTCATCTCGTTTCTCCCCTCCTCTCCTCTCGCTTCTTTCCTCCCTCGCCCCGTACAACCTCCACTGATTTCAATCTCTAATCCCCAACCCCAAATCTCGCATCAAATTCTGAAAATTTGAAGTCTTTCTCAGTTCTCACTCATCTCACCTCATCTATACCTCAAGAAATCAATCAACCAGAAGGGAAACAAAGTTTCAAAAAAGAAGAAGCTAGATAGCTCACTATTACTAAATACTATAATCTTCCCCAAATGCCCAATCCTTAAGAGCCCTGCTCTCTCTCTCTCCCCCTCAACCTTCCTATCCCCGGGTATCTCTTCCGCTCAAGAAGTAATATTACATGTTTTCCTCCCCTTCCATTTTCTCCTTCGCCCAAAAACTTTCCCCAAGATCCTGTAAAAAAGGAGTGACGCCGTCATAATTTTCCACTCCCAACGATACCCCGATTTCTTTTTTCGGTCCCCTATTTCAAATACATGTTGGGGTATCGATTCGAAAATGTCAAAAGCAAAAAAGCAAAAAAGCAGAAACATCTATGTGCTGGTGGGGATATCAATTCATTATGAAACCGAAAAAAAGCAAAAGAAATAAAGAAAAAGTTTTATCGTGAGTCCGTGAAATAGTGATTGTGGAGTAATGCGAGTAGATTGTTGAGAAGTCGCTAATTGATGTATAGAATAAAGATATCATGGACAATGACAATGATCGAGGCGAAGCTTTTTTAAATATTTTTTAGGTCGATTCGAGCCTTTTTATAAGGAAATGTTTGTTAAAGGAGCGAATGCTGACAAAAGAAAAGTTGCAATGAGCGTGGGTGTCGATAGTGACAAAATTGTTGTAATGAAATAATTAAAAGAATGTGGTGCTCGCTTCGTTTTGTCATCGCCCTTGGAAATCTTTATCCTCCCACCAGTGCGAATTTACGAGTCATTATGACTCGCACTCGTCCTTCGTGCCTCTCCAGAAGCTCTAGGTTTCATGTCAAGAAGTCTCGCGCTACCAGCACTGACTCTTCTAACATGTCCGAAGTCAACACTTGTAGCTCTGCTGATACCAGGACTATCCTCGTCCACGAATTCAGCCTGATAGCTAATACTTCTTCGGTAATCTGGAGAATCTTCAGCAGCCTCATCCAAAAGTCCTGCGCGAGATTTCGCTCGTTCGCGGTGAATTACAGTAGCATGTCTTGCCACAGCTCCCCATTTTGTCTGCCCTTCTGGAGATGGATTTTGTTTAATGCTAGCTCCATCTTCCTCATCGCTAGAAGCCATGGGAAGACCGGTAGATTGTCGCTTCATCGTATTGTCTTCCTCAGGCCCCGGTGTGATGCGACTGAAGTATTCATCTTCAGCAATTCCAAGTTCTTCTGAAGATTCTGATAACTCTTTATAGCGTTGTTGTAAAGAGCTAGCAGAATCGCGTAATGGTGACAATGTCATCTGTGCAGATCCTCGTTTTGAAGCTGTTTTCTTCCCAGAAAGCCATGATCCTTCGGAATCTATTGATGCAAGAGATTGGGAGATAAGGGCGGGTTGTTCGGGTGAAGGCACATCTGTTGATCTGTGGCCACTGGTAGGTGTGCTATCTCGTAAACGCGCGATACTGATTGGAGTATCGTATCTGCGTTGCTCCTCCAAAGATCTTCGTATGCTACCCCTCTTATCTGGATAAGCAGTACGTATTGGTGGTACGACATCAGTCTCGGGAGATTGTAGTCGAGAGTCCGGTGGTGAAACTGGAAGTTCAGGTAAATCTTCTCTAAACTTTGACATCGTTCGTTTGGGAATATTTGACGTTTGCCTAACCACTGGCGTATATCCCAAATGTTGTGGTGGTCCGGTTTGCACTGTTTCCCGTGAAGTGTTCGAGAAGGATGGCGTGGAAGTCCTGCTAAGTCTCTTGTTTCGTCTGAAAAATGATGTCCACGATTGAGAAGTTTTGGCTTCCACAGGCTGTTTGACAGGTTCTGTCTCCACTCGCTGTTTTTTAGATGGAGAAGAAGCCCTGGATTTATCTAGGTTTACCACCTGTGAAATATTCGATGGCCCTCGAAGATGGCCCTTTGGTGAAGCAGGTGGTGAGACATTAGCTTTGCCGATAGTGCCAACCTGCGCATTTCCTAAGAATGGTGCAGAACGTTCTGAAGATGGAGTTGGGTTCTCGTCAACGAATGGAGTTTCGTGCGCGGGAGAGTCTTTGAAAAAGGCATCCGCAGGTCGCTTTCCTCTTCCAGAATCCCAAGTATCTGATCCTCTCCTCTTGCTTGATGTAGTTACCGCGGAAGTTCCAATGCCTAAGCCTACTACCTCTCTTCCTAGAACCCCCCTCTCCATGTTATCCGGTGGTGGTGTACCATATCGAGCTGCTGCTGCTTCTTCGGCCTTTTGTTTCTCTTGCTTTCTTGCCAACCTTCTCTCTGCTCTCAGCTTCTCATCTGCCTTCTTTCTTTCTCGCCTCTTCTGATCTCTTTCCATGAGCTCCCGAAGCTCTCGGGCGTCCAGATCATCGGCAAGTTCATCAATCCTCGTATTTGCTTTTAGAACTTCTTCTGGAATATGTATGCGATCCAAGATACGTCGCTTTTGCGAGTCTGATCTATCTGAACCAAAACCGGTTACGCCAGGCGCATATCGAGGATTTTCGGAATGTCGAATCGTAGGGCGTGGTGCCAACGCATCTAATGCAGATATTCTCCATGATGTTTGATGTTCGGAATTCGAAGATACTGAAGAACGCATCGATTCCGCCGTTGGCAGAGAAATATCGGAACGCGGGTTGTGTAGATTCCCTTTCAATCCGGTCCGCATTCTCTTGCTATCCCTCTTCATGGGACGACCAGATGATGAGGCATCTGCGGCCGGTCTGCTGGGCATAAAAGAAACCATTGCTTTAATCTCCTCTTCCCTATTAAATTCTTCCTTGCGCTTTTTACTCGACTTTCGCCTTGAGAGTTCCGCAGCACCTCTTTTGTGTAATGTTGGCACCCTCTGCCAATCCTTTAACTCCTCGGCTTCTTGATCTGTGAGTCCAATTGTTGTGTCTCTTCCGTCTCGACCATCTGCAGGTAAAGGAGGAACCGGAGGTCTATGCACGTCTCTAGGCACGCGAATGCTATCGTGTCGACCGGGAGAAAAACTATAAGTCCTTTGCCTTTCAGGCTTCTGTAATTTATTCGAATCCCTCGAAGATTTCCTTCTCCTTTGAGAGTCCCTCCGGCTTCTTCTTCTCTCGAGGACTGATAAAGGGTTTAATTCGGATCCATCATGCCTTCCAGGGTCCCGCTGTGTGCCAGCATCGTGCATGGTTGGGTGTTCGGAGCGAGAAGTGCTAGCCCCACTGCGCGACGCTCTGCGAGTACTTTTCCAACGGAACGGCCACAAACCCATCTTTCCATCGATGTGTATAAGATAAAATTTATGCCCCTCTCAATATTACGAGGTTGGCACTGAGCTGTAATATATGCTGTGTCAAAACCCGCTCAAACCCTTCACGGAGCTCCAAGGTTTCAATCTAGTACCTGCACGCGTTGACCATGGCCATCAAATTGTGAATCTCGACCGAATTAATGTATGTGGGCACTGTGCACTGAGCAAGCGACTGACAGATCAAACGTTTAAGACCCCACGAGGTCCTTCCTTGTTGCAAGTTAATAAATAGAAAATTGTTTTGTGAAAGTGGATCGCGTTTCCGCTCCCATGACGTTCATTCAAATAGTGCCTGTATATGGAGGTTCTGCTTTGGAGTTTTTTTTTTTCTTTTCTCGTTTGGTTGGTTGGTACGGTTGTGTATGATTTGAAAGGATTACTCTTGTA